TCTCCCCATACTAGTCAAGATTCTGAAACATACAAAGAAGGTGGAAAAGATAGTTCCAGCCCTTTTGAATATCCCACAATCTAATCCGGGAGCTAATACATACACCTATGCAAAACAATCACGTACCCTCAAAAACTCAATATGGGACCAAGGAAGGGCCAGAACAACAAACAGAAGGGCCACGAGGACAGCTCACTGCTGTGGGAGCAGACTGGAGCTGACTTGGACTACTGCTGCTGCTAGGACATGAACGCCCCTACTGGGTAAACTGTAAATGAGAGAACTTTGTTTGGCTAGTGGTTCTGGAGACCAAGAAGCCAGAAATCAAGGGCCACATCCGAGGAGGGCCTCTGTGCTACCTCAAAATGTGGCATAGCAAGCATACGTGAAACACAGGGAGGCAATCGACCCCACTGGTCCTTTTAACCAGGAACCTGCTGCCACGTCATCAACCCCACTCACTCGGTAACAGCAGTCATCCATGAGGACAGGGCCACTTCTAAACACTGTCACAGAGGCAATCACAGTCACCATGGGATTTGGGGAGACATGCAGACCATAGCAGGTGGTTAAAGGCCTCTCTTTGGGGGCAGCTGAGGTACAGCACTGTGGCTTAATGTAGATTTTATGCATCAAAAACATCCCTTAATGACTGAGGGGAAGGTCATTTTCAAGTGAGTCGGGAGAATTTCTTTTTTACTTATGTTAAAGTGAAATTGCTGATTTCTTAGAAGTTGCACTTACGCTCAGAGAGCAAATTTTTAGAAAAGAATGAAGGAGGACAAAGAGGAGAATCATGACTTAAAGCAGTGGCAGGAAGGCAAGCTGCATCTACACATCTTTAGAGAGCCATGTGTTCAATCAGTGGCTTCTTTTGGAAGGCAGATGTTCACCAGGAAATAGTCTTTCAGAAGTGCAGCCTGTTAATCTACAGGGGGAGATGTCTGGGCACTTGCATTCCCAGAGGTTGTGATGCACTAAGGGGAGGACACACCATTGCTCTGATTTGTGCTCATCAAACTACACTGCACTGTATTTATGCTCACCAGTTGGAGACCAAGACTTCACAACATGAGCCTTTGGGGCCATTCCATACCCAAACTATAACAGGAGGCCAAGAGAGGCCCTCTGCTTTGAAGTCCACAATTGAGGATGAGTTTAGACCCTAGCAACCCAAGGGACAGGAGGGAGTCCAGTCACTACAAACTGCAGAGAATGGTACTCTCTGGGAGGGCAAGAAATTTTACTCTCTGGCTGTCCTTATGGACCCAGCCCTAGCACAGGGTCTGGCCTGATAAATATCTGATGAACACTTAAATGAGTAGATATGAATGCACACATTCCATATAATAGCGAATATTCAAGTTCCTGGGGATCTCAGCCAAACCAAAGTAGAGGGAATTTGCTCCGCTACCATTTCCTGTCTCTGATACCATGACCACAGCTCATGTTCACTGGAAAATTAGTTTAAAAGGTACATGTAGATGTTTTTTCCTATTGCTGGAAATCTTGGTCCAGCACTGATAGCAAGATACCCATCAAATCTATAAGATAATAGATTTTCTAATTTTTAACTGCAAGAAGTAATAGAAATATGTTCATAATATCAGAACAACTGGCACCGACACACCTTACCCCCTGGAATAAGCCCATGCATCCTCTGCCTGCAGAAGGCATGCTTTATCCCTCTAATGTTGTCAGGGGAAAAAAAAAAAAAACTTGGGTGAAGTCCTTTCCACCCTCTCCCCATATTTAGTGTTGTCATGACTCCACTTCTCTTTCCTCCTTTCATTACCCCTCAAAACATGACCATAAATGTTTGCTACTCTTATTACCAAAGTCTTTACAAATAAAATCTATTCTTGTTCTCACCATCCAAAAATCTGTTTCCCCACCCTCCAACCCCACATACTTTGAGTAAAAATTAAAAGGTGACATCCAAAACCAAACCTCCCTTCACTTGGTAAAACCCAATAATTACTGTCTTAAATCAGATAAGAGTGCTAATCTGATACAAACCATCCCAAATTAGCACTTTCCTTCCCCCTCAATGCCAACGGCATTAAATGACTCAACTTTGCCATGCACCGTCGCTCCAGCTGCCAGAGTCTGTGCTGACATCCCCGTCACAACACACACTCCCTCGCTTGGAACCCCTCTCCTCTGGTATCTTTTCACCCACTCTGACAAGCCATCTTCTGTACTTGGGCATCCCTCTCTCTGGGTTAGATAAGGTCAGGGTGGGCTCTTTTGCCACATGGTGGTAAGCAGTTGAAGATCTCTGCAGTCTGGCAAAACGGGAAGAATTTTAATCTATATGCCACTTCATGGATAGGAAATATTTGTCAAATTTAGGTGGCCAAACTTCAAATGCAATAATTCACATGGTAAAATGTACTTAATACTGAGGTTGCGTTGAATTTTAAGGAGTCTTTGATGATTTGGAAGGTACAACAAGAATACTGCAATACTTGAGTCATTGTGATGACTATTGACCATCAATGAATTATATAGGTTTTAGGTGGACTGAGTTGTTCCCATGCATTGGCCAGTTTAGATCCCTGAATTGCCTGGAAAAGCTCCAGAGCACTGGTTGGCTTCCTGATCAGCCCTCCAAAATGATTTCACCCACTGAATAAATATTTATGCTCCTATTCTGTGCCTGGCAGGATTGCTAACTTTAGGTTCTGGTACTAACTATTGCATGTGATGTTCCTCCTAAGTACTGTAGCAAGTGGAAAGGGACCATGCCTCCCTGTTTCTTAGCTTTTGGGTAAAATTTTGTTTTCCCCAATTGATGGTCAATTTTAATCAATGGAGAAGTTCCATAGGGTCTTTCTCTTGGTTAATCTGAGCTGTTGTGTGATAATGCACAGGGTATGAAGACTAAGTGGGCTTCTAAACCATATGCAGGTTTTTTGTTTGTTTGTTTACATTTTCCTAATTACAAGAAAATGTAATTCACTTCTGTTAAGCTGAGATGGAATAAATAACATATAATATACATGCTCCTCCTTCCATTGTCCAATTCAACAAGTAGAGTACGTGATTGGTGAAAGAGCCACTGATTGGTGGTTTTTTAATTTTGACTCCTAAATTTATTCAAGATTTAATTCATCTAAAAGCTTAGTGGAGAGATGTGATCTGCAGACCCAAAACTAGTCCCAGCTCTGCTGGTGACCAAGCCATCACTGAAATTCACTGCACATACTTCAGCTTTCCCAGAGATTTTTAAATGGATGTTAGGACTTGCCTAGAGCAACTGAAGGAGCACTCAGATGACGGGAGAAAACACTTCATGTAAGATCAGCACTGAAATATGTCTTGGAACAAATTGCTCTTTTCCTCAACACTGCATTATTTTTAAAATAACCAAGCATGTTGACACTAAGATGTTTTCCCCTGGCATTCTTCAAATTTTCTTCAACATAATTAAAAAAAATGTTAGGCTAAAATATTTTTAACAAATAATGTTTAGCACTACTTTCATTGAAAACACAGATAAGACAATTTTATGTGATTGAAGATAGGTGAGTACTGTGATTCTTTCAAATAATCTGAAATGCAATGTTGCTTTTCTTGAGTTGCTCTCTGGGTGAAAGAACAAATGAACTAAAGAAATTCAAAAGTTCCTTGCTCAGCCGCTGCCCATACCTGCCTGGCAGGTCACTCTGTGGATTTGCATCATGGAAGACAGACTGACAAACATCATTTGCATGTTTGTGTTTTATTTCTTTCATTTCATAGAATATATAATCTCAAATCCAAAGTCATTTAACCCAAGATCCTTTCTTCAGCAAGAACTGGTTTGCTTGTTTTTTGAGTGTCTTAACAGGCTAGAGTGTCACCCTTATCCAAGGCTTGGCTTTCTACAGCTTCAGTTATTATGGCAACAGTGGTCTAAAACTATTAAATGGAAAATTCTAGAAACAAACAATTCATCAGTTTTGTGCTCTATGTCATTTTAGGTGACATGATGAAGACTCACATTGTGCCCACTCTGTCCTCCATGGACACACATGACCCCTTTGTCCATTGTATCCATGCTGTATATGCTACCACCTGTTAGCTGCTTAGTAGCTGTCCTGGTTATCAGATTGTTACTGTATTACAGTGCCTGTGCTCAACTAGCCCTTATTTTACTTAGTAGTGGCCCCAAAGAGTAAGAGTAGTGATGCTGGCAATTCAGATAAGTCAAAGAGAAGCTGTAAAGTTCCTTTAGGTGAAAAGATTAAAGTTCTGAACTTAAGGGGGAGAACAAACCAATAACTAATAAGAACAAATCTTCTGTGAAACTGTGACAGAAGAAAAGGATATTTGTGCTAGCTCTGCTTCTGCACCTCAAATGGCAAAAGATACTGCCACAGTATAAGAGCCTGGCTAAGATGGGAAAGCACTGCATTTGTAGATGTATGTGTAAAAAAAAACCAGTGCATTGAGATTTGGTACTATCAAAGGTGGGGATGGATATCCTAAAAAAATCAAAGGGAAATCAGTAGGGGAAAAGGACCAAGGGGTGGGAGGGGGAGGGAGGAAAGCAATGGGAGTGATATTGGCCAAATTACACATATCCCATCAATATTACAACTGTAATGCACTCAAAAAAAAAAAAAAAAAAAGATCTAGTACTATCTGTGGTGTCAGGCATCCATGGAGTCCTGGAGTGTGTCCCCAGGGATAAGGGGGCTACTGCATTAACACTTAAAAGTTAAAGTTGAGGAAAATCTTTAAAATTACATTTGAAGAATGGCAAACGTAAATAGAATTAGACAATCTGCCAACCTTCCTTGTGCACCTGAACCAGCACTATTTTAAGACACTATAAACAAAAACACGGATAAGGTTCCAAACCTGCCTGCCTCTTCTCCTTTTCACCAAAACCTGATTTCTGGGAGCTATTGACAGGTGCACAAATGCACCCCTCTCTGTCCATTCTGGCTAAAATACTTTTCCTTTCTTCAAAAAACACATCTGACATACAAACACACCAGACTTAGGAATCTTGTTTCACTTTGCTTTTATTTTTTACAATATACTTACTGCATCTTTTCAATATAGCATATTTCAGATGTACAGAACTGACAGTTATAAAGCGAAACTGTATGTAGCACACACCCAGGCCCTCCCACCCAAGGACTAGAATGTTATTCATTTGACCTTAACCTGCCAGTGTTTCTAACTGAAATGCAATGTTGCTTTTCTTTACTGAGTTGCTCTCTGGGTAAAAGAACAAATGGAACTACAGAAATTCAAAAGTTCCTTGCTCAGCTGCTGCCCATACCTGGCAGGTCACTCTGTGGATTTACATCACAGAAGACAGACAGTCTCCATTTATTGATCCTCCTGAGCTAAATTTTGGTTTATCACTGTTACCTTTTTTAATAGTACAGTTTTGTATGCATGCTCATACAATATATTCTTTGGTTTTGCTTATTTTTGAGCTCTATGATAATTGTATCTTACTATAAGTAGTGTCATGGAAATTGTTTTTTCCATTAACATTTTGAGATTCATTCTTATTACCAGGTATAACTACAGATCATTCACTTTCATTACAGATAGTATCACTTAGAGTAAATATACATAATTTATGCTATCCTCTACAGATGTTTCACTTTTTTTAGTTACAAACTATTACACGTTACTATGAACATTCTTGCACATTCCTGCATATACTAAAGGGCAAGACATTGTTGAACATGACTGCGAGGTAAAAGCTAGATCACAAGATCTGCAAACATTCACGTCAGCAAGTGTAACTGTTTTCTACAGGAATGGTGACTTGCACAACGTGTGCGTTTCACAGATCTTCTCTAACCCCTCCTATGATCAGGCCCGATTTTTGCAAATCTTAAGGATATACAATGGAATTAAGACTGTGGTCTTAATTCATACTTGGGGAATCAGTAATGCTAGGGACATCTTCCTATTCATTTATAAGCTCCATGCGAAATGCCTTTTTAAGTTTCTTCTATTTTTTCAAAATACAAACTATATAACTAATCTTTTGTCAGTTATTTGTATTGTGAATACGTCTTTCTCAAGTTCTGGTCTGTTTCTTCACTTATTTGCTTAATATAGCCCTTGGTTTGGTTGAATTGATTTAATCATCTTTTAGGGTTACTGCCTGTGCCTCAAGAGATTTGTTCCTGCCTTATGGAGGTTTTCATGTGAAGTTTAAAACTGCTGCTGACTGCACTTTGCACATCTGGAATCGGCTGTTGGGCAAGAGGGGAAGCAGCACTAACTCTCCTTCTTTCCCAGATGGACAGCCACACTCTAGCACTGTACTTCTTAAGCTGGCCCTCCTATCCTCACTCGTTGGCCACACCATTCCTGCTGGGCCACCAAGGCCAACACAACATATCCATGGACTGGTTTCTAGGCTCTCATTCCACTGCTCAGAAAGTCACCTCTGCACCACATGACACTCTATGATAAAACTTGATGTACTGTAAAACAAATCCCCTAACCCTCTTCATCTTCAGAAGCATCTGGCCCTCTTACCCCTTTGCTATTCTACATAAGTTTAAATATTTGCTTATGTTTAACATAACCTTTGTTTGATTTTCTATTGGAAACAGTATTGAATCTACACTCAGTTTGGGAAGCTTTAGTATCTTTATAGTCTTTAATTGCCCATTCTCTGTGAACAAACAGTTCTTCATTTGTTCTTTTTTAAAATATTTTTTAGTTATACATGGACACAATATCTTTATTTATTTTAATGTGGTGCTGAGGCTCAAACCCAGTACCTCACACATGCAAGACAAAGTGCTCCACCACTGAGCTACAACCCCAGCCCTTATTTGTTCTTTTGATGCTTCTTTAGCCTTTAAGCTGTTTTTTATTTATTTACTTACTTACTTACTTTTTTATTTATTTATTGTACCAGGGATTGGACCCAGGGGTACTTAACCACTGAGCCACATCATCCTTAGTCTCTTTTTATTAAGACAGGGTCTCACTAGCTTTGAACTTGTGATCCTCCTACCTTAGCCTCCTGAGCTGCTGGGATTACAGGAGTGCAACACTGTGCCCAGCTCTTTATTCTTCAAATGCTAAACCAGGACTCAATCACTGTGTTCCTGAATAAATCTACCACCATCCAACTCAAGTAGGATAAGTGCATCTTTAAGTGCAAAGTTCTGAGAAAAGATTATGGGTAAGTCTCCGGCTTGTGGCTTAGGCAGAAGTATCTCTCCCCATCAGTGAATGTGCTGGGATTAAGACGAGAGGCATCAAAGACAGGGTTTGGGACACAGGGTGAGACCCAAGTATGTCCTTGGGAAGGAGCTGAGCATCACCATGTCCATCAGCATAGGGAAGTCTGGATGGAGAGAACTGCAGCTATCAACTGGACAGCCTCCCCTCTCAGATAGCACTGCCTGAGAGGCCACTGCTGACCAACTGCTGGGGACATGAGAGTTTCAGTGGGCAGAGAGTTATGAAAAGGGCTGATAAATTATCATAAATATAGAGGGTTAACCAGAGAAGGAATGTCAAGGGGGAACCAGTGTAGAGAAATTTTTTGAAAAACTGGTCAATACTGTCTAAAACCAAAGAAGAGAAAACCTGTTGGAAAGGCCTCTGGGACTAATAATCACGAGGTCCCTAGTGGCAGGAGTAATGAGAAAGCGCAGGGCAGGGGTTTGTGTATGTGTGTGCACTACACAGAGAACATGAGGAGAAGATGACTAGAAGGGGCGAGGCACCCTAGGTCTGCTGACGGCATGCCTGACTGTTCTCCATGAGTTCACTGTATGAAGGGTGGCGGCTAGCAGAATGGCTCAAAGGAGAAATAGTATTTAAGACCTGAGCTCAACCACCAGCCTCCTGCAAACCAGCCTCCTCAGTAACAGCAGAACCAGCAGCAAAATGGGGACAATTCTTTAGAGGGAAAAGTTAACATGGAGCCTTGGTGAATGTGGAGGTGCTAAGTGCGTGGGTCTCGTCAGTCCCAGATGCTGACAATGGAAGAGGTTGTGGGTTGAGTAAGCCACACAGGGAAGACCTGAGTCTAGAATATCACTAAACTCCCTGCCTTTAAAGTCCTGCTTCTCTGGCACCTGAGATAAACCCAGGAGGGTGCCTTCAGGTTGTATTTTATATTCTTAATGATCACAGTAGGTACTTGAACTTACAAAATTTTTGTCTTTAGAAACAGATTTTTCATGGGATTAAACTGATATCACATTCAAGAAAGCCACTCTATCTCAAACCAGCTGAGAGAAGATATGGCAAGTATTTAACAATCAGGAGACTCTTAGTAACTATTCAGATAAAATACATTAAGATATTTGAAGGAGGTTTCTTTTTCCCACAGAAGAATGTCCCAGAGCCTAAATAATATACCTGCTATGGAACAGGAAGTGAGTCCTCCAACTAGGTGGCTCAGGACACCAAGTGCTATTCTCAATCTGAAACAAGTTAAGCGTACCTAAAGAAAGTACACAATCACCTTCACTTCAGGGGTAAGCGATGCTGGAAATGTATGTTGCTCTGCAATAAACACATACATGCTATGGATGCTATGCAGAATTATTACCCAAGTCTTTTTATTTTCCCCCTTTCACCTCCAACAAACCTGAACATACCACTGCTTTAGGGGCATGGCCTGCTGATATTCAGTGAGATAAGGGAGGATGTTTGGCTCACAATGAGTGAGTCCCAGTGGAGCATATAACATAGGAGGCAGATTCTCTTTCCCAGTCAAATGAGGTCTGAACCCCTGATCTAGCAGGTTCAGTCCAGTCATTACCATGCACATTTCCCCATTCTTTTGCCTTCTGTTAACCTCTTGTTCTCTTTCCAGGAGCACCTGCTACATGATGAGTCTGGGGGCTACCTACAGAACTCCACAGAAGTTACCATTTATTAAGAACTTGCTGTGTGCCAGATGTCATGTGAACTGTCCCACATGTGTCATCTCCTTTAGTCTTCATCTCATGTCAATGAGACAAAAACCACTCTTTATTCTCACTTTACAGATGAGAAAGCAGTATTGGAAAGCCTAAGTAATTTACTTATATCACACAGCAATTAAGTAGCCAAAGCTGAAATTTGAGTCCACGTATATCTGACTTTGAAGTCCATGCTCTTACCATTTCCCCTAAAATGACCCAGAACAAGTCAATAGGCTATTTCTAAACTGTATGATTTTCGAGTTGGATCAGTATAGAAAAAGAAGAATTGAATGACATCAGACTGTCCACAGTCCAACTCTGCAAAGGTCACTGCAGCTGAGCTAAGAATCTGCTCAATTCTGAAGACAACTAAAAGACATGAACCACCCTTAACTGCCACTCCTTCTCCATTTCCTTTTATCCCCCCTCAGGGAAGAGATTAGGAAATTGTGGGAGCACAAAAAAGCTTGGAGAGCATGACTGCACTCAGCCACACCAGGGCAAACAGCTCAATATTTCTGACAGGCGAGCAGTGAGATGCCTTTGCCAAAAGGAGTTCTGCAGCCATTTAGCTGAGCCTTAGAAAATGAGGTCTTTCCAAGAGAGCAGAGATACTCCCTTTCCTGTCAGAGTCTGTTGTTGGGACCATTTAGATTAAAACACCCCATTTCTCACAGTGGCACTCTGCTCCAAGGTTACATTTCTCTATTTCTCTATTCCAACCAGGTTGCAGGCTTCTTTTCTAGGAGAATTAAGTTCTCTCCTAGATCCAAGGTAAAATGGAGAAGAAGCAGGCTGACTTGCTTTGAAATGCAAAAGACCTGTCTCCAGCTTGTCCAGTCCCCAGGTACTAGGGACACCATGAGAGCCATGGAACCTCACTGCTACTCATTCAAGGTACCTAAAAACAGTGATGTCTTCCAGAAATCCCCGGAAGCCCCATTCCTCCATAGCGTCTCCAGGATAGTTTCTAAAGCTAGAAGCAGGGCCGTGCTGACCAGATGCATTCAGGCCTTTGTTGTTGTTTTTAAGGCACTTTGGATTATCTTTCTTTGGGGTCAGCAAGCATACAGAAGGTTAAGAGGAGGAGGGCGGGCAGGAGGAAAAGTTAGTCTGTATCATATCCCAAGATGGGTCCAAGCCATTTCTCCACGTCAGCCACAGTCATGTTCTTCCTCACAGCATAATCTTCAACCTGCAAAAGATAGAAGCACCCAAGTAAATCCAAGTGTTAAGACTTTCTGAACTAAAGTTTCCTCAGGTTTTGTCAAAAAACATTAAGTACCTTCCATTTCTTATCTTAGTAGCAATCTACTGAGTTAAATGCAGATAGATATTTATCTGTCTACCTAGCTGCCTTCATCTCTGGGCAGAAAACAGTACTTAATAAATACCCGCTGTATGGAAGCAGGCTGTGTATGCTCCTGGTAGAGGGAGGGCTGGAATGAGGTAATGGGCTAAGATCAAATTCAGACATTAATGGGGAAAATATCGTCATTCCCTTCCCTTCCTTTATTCTCATTCACATGTAAAATAAAATAGGTTCTAGAGTTCCATTTAAAACAACAGGCATCCAAGGAAACCACACACTTACCTGATCCTTGGAAATTTTCCCCACAGCAAAATATCTGGACTGCAGATTGGAGAAGTAGAGGCCCGACACCGAAGAGGCGGGTGCCATTGCCAAAGACTCTGTCAACCTGATGCCTAGAGAGAGCAATGCAGGAAAACGCTCATTCACTGGGGGCCTCATGCGGGGTATTCAGTAGACTGGATGGCACTCAGTAGACTCGCTGAACACATAAATGAAAGTAAACTTATACCTTCTAGGTAGACACATGGCCCAGCAAGAAAGCTGTGACCAGAAGGGTCTAGCAAATTCCTACCGGACAGAAAAACAAAGTCAGAACATACAAGAGACTGGGAAGAGACTCTCTGTACTCTTCCCCTGTTACCAAAGATCAGTGCAGAGGCCGCGACCCGCTGCTAAGCCTGGGGAAGACAGAGCCATCTGACAGCTCCACATAGCTCCAGGGGCCAGGAACACGAGCAATGACTGACAGCTGGTGCCAGTGAGGAATAAGCTCACAACAGCACAAAAAAGAAGCGATACTTTCTCCTGCGGTCTGGGAACCCAAAAGGACTCCCAAGGCTATCTATTCTAAGCTACTCAGGTTATGGACATGGAAAGAGAACAACTCAAAGGTCAAGTGCCTTGCCATAGCTGGCTTGTGGAAAATAGGACCCAAATCCAGATCCCAGGACTGCTTGCATTTTGCAGTTTCTCACTTCAACCTGGATTCCTTTAGCTCTGCCAGCTTGGCAACATGCCTTTCATTATTCCCACTGAAAACTGCGAACTCTGGGGCTGGGGATGTGGCTCAAGCGGTAGCGCACTCGCCTGGCATGCGTGCGGCCCAGGTTCGATCCTCAGCACCACATACAAACAAAGATGTTGTGTCCGCCGAAAACTAAAAACAAAATAAAAATATCAAAAAATTCTCTTTCTCTCTCTCACTCTTTCTAAAAAAAAAAAAACAAACAAACTGCGAACTCTGTCTCAGTCTTGTCAACCACGTGATCTGTGGTAAGGGCTAGAACCTGCATAAGGATGGGGCAATGCACAGCCACAGAACCATGGCAGATTCTACCCTGGGCCAGGGACGCTGACACTGGGTGCCCAGGGCTCCATCTCAAGAGGACATGTGCCAACTTTCCATTTTAACTATGAGAATCAAAACACAGATAAAACATGAGTGAATTAGGAATACAGAAGAGCATAAATGTTCATCCCAGCATGATAGGAAAGAGGAGGGAGCTGGGAACTCTGAAAGGCTGGTGTCCAGAGATACCACCAGCAAACAATATGGGCCTGAAGCAGATAAAACCACCAACAGGACATCATCTGTGGGCTGCTAAGGAGGGATGAAAGACACTATCACACCAGCAACAGAGACCTGGGGCAAGAGGGGAATGGGCCAGCAAGGGGTGGGAGAAGACATCTCATCCATGATGGGTCAAGAGAAAATAATTTAAATTGATCAGTCTATAAAGGTGATATAAAAAGACAATACAGTAGTATGAAAATACAATGCATAGCTAAAAGTGAGAAAGGGAGGAATAAGAGTTGATTTCATCATAGCTCTTCTATTTTTTAAAAATCTCTAACCATAGATGCCATTACCCTGGTAAAAAGCGTAACTGAGTGAGGAAAGACAGGCAATCACCCTTCCACACACACACCTGTGCACTGCTCGATGTCGGCCAGTCTCCACATGGTGAGTTTCTCAGTGTGGTCAGGCTGGCTGGGGTAGCCGGGAGCTGGCCGGATCCCCTCATACCGGAGCCTGCGCAGATCTGGGACGCTTAGCTGCTCACTGCTGCAGTAGGCCCAGAATTCTCTGCGAACCCTCTCATGCAGCTCCTCTGCAAAGGCCTAGGAACCAGAGCAGAGGCACGCTCAGGCAGTGGCAGGAGCGTGTAGCATGCCAGCAACCTCCCTCCCGGTCAAAGCCACATGGAACAGCCTCCCTCGGCAGGCCCACAACCCAGGTGAAGTTGTCAAGAGGGGACAGGCTGCGTTCTTGAGAGTTTATCCTTTCATTAGCTACTCTGCTGCTCTACAGCAACCTGAACCTGGACTTGGAGTGTCATGTTTAATGATCTGAGAATTCCAAGATTTTTAATACTAATATTCTCTGAAGGTCAGTCTACAGTACCACTCCCAGAAAGAGCAGCAGAGACCACACAGCTGCGTTCCTCCATGGCTCACCACAGGGAAAGGGGGCAGGCTCTCCCCACAGCCTTGGCTGCCCTATCCCATATAACAAGATGAAGAATCTATAGAAGATACGAACATCAGAAGGGGTTCTAAAACAAACATGTTTTGTTTTGCAGCAGCAGGGGGTATCAGGGATCAAACTCAGAGGCACTCAACCTCTGAGCCCCATCCCCAGCCCTATTTTGTATTTTATTTAGAGACAGGGTCTCACTGAGGTGCTTCGTGCCTCATGGTTGCTGAGGCTGGCTTTGCACACGCAATCCTCCTGCCTCAGCCTCCCTAGCCACTAGGATTACAGATGTGCGCCACCACACCTAATCTGGTTTTTAATTCTGGGGGGTTTTCAGAAAAACATCACACCACAGCAAGCAAAGGAGGCATCAGACATAAGGCAAGAGGTCAAGGTTCTAAGGCAATGGCTAACTACAGCACCACTGAAGGTTTTCCTTTGCCTGAAGGATGATACGTGAAAACTACTTAAGGATTCGTGATTTCTAAAACATACTGTAATGTTAAAGCCAGCACAGCATATGAATCAAGGAAAAAAAGAGTGGTTTTAATAGTGGTATCTTTCTGATACTGTTGTGGTTATCTCACCCAGCTGGACTCCACTTCAGTGCCCAGTACACCACCGTTGCCTTACCTCTGCCAGCCGATCCCCCAGAGCCTTGACCATGATGCTGCTGTAGTCATCGCCCTGGTCCTCATAGGCCTTGCTCAGCTCTTCCACCCCAAAACATGCAACAGCAAACAGGCCCAGATAGTCCCGGATCCCAGAATGCAGAGGAGCGATGAAGTCCGAGAGGCACTGGTACGAGTCTGTGCTGGCAGAGTCCTTCTCAGCCTTAAAACCCAAGCAGCAGGAATAGAGGTTATTAGCATGGATCTGGCACCAGGACTGTCACAGAGGAAAGCAACTGGGGATCTTCAAATAATTAAGCTTCGTAGCACAGGGATGTTACCTATTTTGCTCACTATTAAACCTGTGGCACTTAGAACAGTACCTGACATAGTGAGTATTCGATGAATAAACAAATTGCTGTGGTTTGAGTGTATGCCTCAAAAAGTTCATGTGTGTAATTCCTCAAAGTGGCAATGTAGGGAGATGGGGCCTGGTGGGAGGTATCTGGATTCTTATAAATGTACTACTATCTTTCTTACAGGAATGGTAAACTATGGCTGGAGTTCAACCATCTTTTCTTTTGTGTGTGTGTGTGTGTGTTGTGCCCTCTCCCCATTTCTGCCACGTTATGAAGCAGTACATGACCTTTACCAGAAGTGGCTACGTAGCTTGAACTTCCCAGCCTCCAAAATATAAACAGAAATAATTTTTTTCTTAATAAATTATCAGTCTCATGTATTCTGTCATAGCAACAGAAAATGGAATAGGACACAAGTAAATTAAGATTTTAAAAACCCACTTATTTGTTCACTCACACACTGACTGCACTGTGCTAGGAACCAGAATCTTAAACAAGCATACAAAAAAAAAAAAAAAAGTCCCCCCCCTTTTTGTTTTGTTTTATTGCTGGACTGGACTGGAGATTGAACCCAGGGCCCTCTACACTGAGCTACATCCCCAACCCTACTTATGTTAATGCAAGGTCTTACCAAATTGCAGAGGCTAGCCTCAAACTTCCAATATTCCTACTTCAGCTTCCTGAATAATGTGCACATGCCACTGCACCCAGCTTGTCCTCAATGTATTTTTAATCCAGATCAACATTAAGTCCTGGTGCTATGTTTGCATGGGGACCACTAGATGTATAAGCTCCACAAACATCATCAGATGTGGTTCAGCAAACTATTAGGGTCAACATTATATTGGCCATGCGCTGTCTGCCACAGGGGACACTGCAGGAGACAGCTGGGTCACCCCAGGACAGTCTGAAACCAAAGAGCTCAGTTGGGTTTGCTTGTGACTCTCCTCATAGCCCAGGTGCCTATCCTTGCCCATTTTCCACTCTCACCTGATGACTGACTCTCCCAGGTATTAAGGTGACAACTAAGGTCTTATGAACATTACATAGTCAATAAATAACTGAAGAGACAAACAGGTTGCAACGAATATTAACTAACATTAACCACACGCTCGCTAGATGCCATTCTTTATATGAACTGCTAATTTAACTCTCTAAACAGCCTAGGGAAGTGACACTACTGGCTCCACCTCACAGGTAAGACATCTGAGGCTCAGAGAACTTGGTCAACCAGCCCAGGCTCAGAAGAGTCAGGGCCAGGGGCCGGGTACGAACGCTCCCTTGGTACCATCCACAGATGCTCCTGTATACGTGGTATAGCTTGTGACTGATCAATTAATCCATGAGTAGCCACTCAGAAGCTTCACAAGCTATCTGCCAGCCATGAAAGCAGGTACAGCCTGACCCTGGGCAGAAAATCAGCCAGTGCTGCAGGCAAGATGGTGACTAAACTCCTCAGCAGGGGCCGGGGTTGTGGCTCAGGAAGCCATGCTTCCTGTCCACCTGCAGACGCTTCTGCTGGTGCCCAAGAGGCCTTGCCAGGTCTACCCGTACTGCGCCTTCTCCTGCCATCCTCACAGGTGCTGTGGGCCTGGGCCCATGGAGGATGAGGTGGAGCAGATGCTATCATTTATACAAAGCTCGGATTTAATTCACAGTAATGTTGTAGTTTAGTGACTGAACCCAAAAGTAACAGCAGTGTGTTCACTGTCCCTACGCCCTTCGTACCTGTTGCCTCAACCCATGAAAGGTGGCTATGGGCTCCGCAGCCTGAGGCACCACACCCTCTGCATACAGATGGATGTCGTCCTGGACACTCTGCGCTGGCCAGAACCCAACCACACCCCTGGCCTGGAGCTTTCTTTGACCAATCAGTGCGTTCAGCATACTCTGGGCATCATCATATACCTTTCTGGCCTCTTCACCTATTAGGAAAATACAGAAAGAAATCACTTAAAGATGCCAACAGTAACCAGTAAGGAATGCTTGTTTTAAAAACCACTACCCCTGGGCCGGTTTCCCCTTCACCTATCCTCACTCCCCTCTAAGCTTTCTGGTATTGGCCACCAGCACAGCTGAAAGGAAGCAGCCAGGGCTGATGGTTCCCGTGAAACACAGCTCCCAGTCTGCCTCCCCCAGCTCAAGCCACTTGCATTTTTCCATTTCACAAAAAGCTGAGAGCCAAAGCTATGGCAGCCCAAAGCAGTCTATCAGAGGGCAAGAAAAGCAGGCTGAATCCCAGGCTCCCTGATATTTCTGTGCCCCCATGACTCCCCTGGTTCCACAGTGATCTTAAGGCGTGGGACAGGGTAAGGAGGGAGGAGTGGCTCCAAATGCTCCTATGTGGCCTCAGTGCTGTGCCTGCACAGGGGAGCCAGGCCCCAGAACACCCTCCCTTGGTTTCTGCATCTGTAACACTGAGGTCCCAGGCCCATGCTGGGGCCAGTCCTACAGCCCCATGACTGCTTACCTGTGAGGCTGAGGGGCAGCACAGTGAGAAGCCCCTGCCAACCATCACCCTCCTGGCTACCTGGGAGCTGCTGAGTCTCAGCATCTTAACACATGTGCCCAGGACCTCTCCCACAAACTGGCAAAGGCTGGCTTCTCAACTCTTCCCAAAACTCACCTCATATTTCTGAGTCCACCCTCACTGAGTCTCACTCTGATCTGGCCATTTCCTAACTCTGACTGGCTCTGCACTGTGAGCCCTTGTGTCGAGGGTAGGTTTGGGGGTGAGGCTAGTTGTGAGAGCTGGGGCTAAATTTATCAACTCACCCATTCTCTAGTTTATCACCCCCAATCCCTCTCTGCTCCCTAATGCTCTGGGCACAGTGGGCTCCTGGCAGTTCCCCACACAGGACACCTGTCTGAGCCTTCTCAGATCTGCCTCCTCTGCCTGGAATGCCCTTTACTTCAGTGCCACCTCACATCCCCAGGCCCAGCCTCAGTAAATCCCACTTCCAAAAAACAGTTCGAATACTGCCTCATCCAGGAAGCCTGGTCTGAGCTCCCCATCTGAGCTCTAGCTCTTCCTGGGTCTGCAGGACCCGCAGGAGTAGTGTAGCACTTCCAGTATTCTCAGCTGTCCCAGTGAGTCAGGTACTGGATGGCAGGATTAACTGTCTCCTTCTGTTTATCCCTAGTGCCCAGCACAGAGTCCAGCATGTAAAAGATGTCAATAAACATTTATCGAAAGGGTGAATAAATGAAACACCAAATTTAGTCTCTGTAATAGGACTGACCACGCAATTTAAAAACCATCTGAAAGTTAAGCAAGTTAACAAAATGAAAGCAGCTACACTCTGCATAATTCAAATACATGGCTTACCAAATACTCCTGCCTTCAAAGTCATAATACTACATCTTAAATATCAGGCAGTAACACAGGACCTACTGAACTAACCTACTGTTTTGTCGTTAAATATCTTGGGAAAGCCTCGATTCGGGTACTTGCCACGGAGCTGCCAGACATCAAAGAAAGGCTTCCAGTCAATGTAGTCCACCAGCTTCTGCAGGTCATAGTCTTCAAAGACCCGGGTCCCGATAAACATGGGCTTCACTACAGGAGGGAAACACAGCGGGCAACTCTGGTGCAGGCTGAGTCCCTTGCGCGGGCGCAGAGCCTAGAGGCCTGTTTCCCTGAGCCTCACTCTGCCGGCTTCCACGCTCTGCCTCCTTCCAGTCACCCGTAGGAGTTTTCATACAAAGAGGGGAACTTTAAATTACCCTGGGGAAGGAGTCATTCTGCACTAAACCTTAAATAAAACAATTCTTCCCATGCTATTTCCACCACCCTGGAAACACTGCCCTCAGCCCTCCATTCCCACCCCAGGAAAAAGGAGGATTTGTGTCAATTTCCCCTTATACAAATGAAAACAATACAAAATAAAGACCACCAGGGGTGGGGTACAGCCCATTGGTAGAGGGCTTGCCTAGTATGTGCAAGGCCCTGGGTTTCATTCCCAGGTCCACAAAGTAAATAATAAACAAAGGCCACAGAAAAACAAAGATAGTAAGCTACTTGTATATAAAGTCTGCAACGATGAAACAAGTCAGTACTGCCTGCTAACACATATGCACAAAGTATAAGGACATGTACAGAAATGAAATCCCAAATTCAGCATTGTGGTTATTTCCACAGGGGAGGAAGGGACACAGGGCACTATGTCCTATTTATACAGGACAATCTCTTCTTATAAACACCCATTATGTCAGTTTGTTTGGTAACAAGTCATACAGTCCCCTTAGGGGTTGCATGACTACTACCCCCATTCTCCTGATTACAGTGGCCTCTTTCCAGGGAGGCAGGGAAGAACTTCTGCTGCAGAGTCAGAGGACAGGCTTACTCTCGATCAACCTGGTCACCCAGAGATCAAGAGTTGCCCCAAACTCTACCACCCAGGCCCTTGAGAGGAAACTTTCCTTTCTTCCTGTAGCTCCTGAAACGCTACGCTGTCCTCACAACATTTCTGGGGTTATGTTAGGGCCCCACATCTTGGACAGCAGGTCAGAGCCCTGTAAAATGGCCACTTGGAAAGTGTCCCTATTGCTGTCAGGAACAGTGGGACCTCCCGGGACTATTTCTATCAAAGCATGTTTGGAATGCCTGACAGACCTGCCCTAGGGCTATTAGCCCCACTTCGCAGTGAGACAAAAGGCAAAATGTTACAGCAGGGACTACACAGCAATGGATCTGTTTGCTCCAAGGTTCTTACATGTCTCACATTAGCCTCACAGGACTTCCTTTCTACACCCTGGAAACTGTCAGATATGGAAGACAGACACTCAAGGTCACTCAGAGAAACAGCCAGCAGCGAGCTGGCATTGAGAACCCCCCCTCCTCCCAATCTGGCATTCTTTCCACCAAACTACACTCAGCAGGAATGAAATTAGAACCAAGCACACCTACATTTCCAATTTAATCCTCTCAACTCTGCTGAGCATGTGTACAACACAGATGTCATGAGCACTGAAAGCTGATCTGAGACATTACTTGGAACTATGACTTCAACTAACACAACCCCTGCTCACCCTGCCTGGGTTTGCATTTGTAGCTCAAGCCTCTCTAAGCCTGTCAAACACCTCATACATTCTATTCCCTTGGGAACACCTATGTGAGCAAGAAGGTAGCTAGGAAAAAAAAACAAAAGGAAGAAACCAAATGAAACAGAAAGAAAGGGAAGCATCCAGATAAATACAAGGTGAGCAAGAAATAGGGGCTGAAGCTTTGCTGCACTGTTTCAAGACCTGAGAGTATAAAGGAGTTTTCTATTTCAGACCTTCCCCGCCTGTCCTTGGGCCTGCTCAAGACACAGGTCAGGCTGAGGGACAACCACTCAAGCACAGCTCAGAGAAGGCACAGTCCTGCAGCTCCCTGAACACTTAAGAGACAAATCCAAACTGGAATCCTAGGAACCTTTCAATTATTCCCTGAAACTCAGTTTCTTCTGTCAAAATGGAGTCCACACCCATGCTTACTACAGAGCTGTCTGAACTTCACCTCAGGACAGTGTCTAGCAGACGACAGGTTTTCCTTAAATACTGCCTGTTTACTTTCTTGTCAGTCACCAGGGCCACTTGTTATTATGCACAACTGAGAGTCACTAGCTGCTGGTTTCATTCTGTAGCCACAAAATTGCAAACATCTCCTCAGCATATTGTCAGTTATCACACCCAGCTATCTCCACACAGACCTGGGTGAGGTTCCATCAACCAGTCAATATGGAAACCATTTTTTCTGGCTTGACTTAAGGGTAAGTATTTCCTCTCCTGTTGGGGGGAAAAAATAAAGTTATTTAGGCTGAGACTGTTACTTCTTCCACATCTACTATAAACACATGACCAAGAAAGTACAGAATCTTTGCAAGAAAATGAATGCCATTTAGTGAAAATCCTTATCCTAAAAAGGTTCTCCTCTTCTATCCAACATGGCTTCAGACACTGGAACAGGAGCAGAAAAAACTAATAACTTTCTCTTAGCTACAGATATGTAATTATAAGGCTACCCTGCAGCCCCAACAGTCTTGCATGCCAGTGTCTTCAGAATACCTGAGGCCTATCATCAACCACCCAGGGGACCAGAAGGTAAAACCAAGGAACTGTCACTGTGGACAAACCTAAGGGGAAAGAAAAAGCCACTCACAGTGAGCCAGGCTTGCTGGCAACTCAAAAACCAATCCACGTCCTTTCTTCATGCAGTCTGTTAACTGATTCACTTCCCTAACAACTCCCAATGCCACTCCCCCAACCAAAATCCCAGAAGCAAATAACCAGGAGGAAATACCCCAAAGATTTCAAAAGAGTAATTATAGATTCCCTGACAGAGGGCAGGACAGTTACTGACACAGTTCTGCACAGTCAGGGTGAGTTCATCAGGGAAAGAGGCTCAGGAAGGTCCTGGCTAACACCTCCATTTTCCTTCACTATTCCCTCACAGCAGAGCTCTATGGGTAGTGTGCAGCTCCTATTTGCTGTCAGGTATGAGCTCATATTAATTCATTCTCATAACTCTGGCATCTAGCACAGCACCGACCACCTGTGGGGGACCCAGCACGTTTGCCTCAATAGATTAAGGTTCATTTTAATATAACCAAAAGTGCTTGGGAACTTAAGACAATAGAGAACTCTGATTTGAATTACAAAGCAGGACTTCTCTGAAAGGACCCTAACTAAGCCTTTTCCTTCCTTAAAGTAAAGGAAGATTACCACAAGATCACCTTATTGCCCAAACAAATAAAATCCTGTTTCTGTCATTTACCTTGAGATTCTCATAATGGTCCTGTCTAATATCTTCATATTCTTCCATGATTTCTTCGAAGAATTCATCTTTTAGATTTTCATCTAACAGTTGAGAACACTGAAATGCAAAATAAAGTCAGCAACCAGAGAACAGCAAACAATAAAAACTCTGGAGACACCTCCCTAAGAAAGGCTCCCCTAACAACGTTCTCTCTCACTTGGCCAACTGTGTTCACTCCTGCCCAGGTGTGCAGTACCAGGTGAACTCAGTGAGCTTTAGGTACAAAATCCTGTACATGCCAAAGAAAGTCCTAATCCTGGACTCCTCCCTTGTAGATAAGCTCTTAGCCCCTGGGATATCCTGCCTGATAAGAGTGTCATTGTATACCTGGGCTTTGGGCCTTGCCAGAGTTGATACCAACAATATCATTTATGGTGAGGGTTGTGGTTCAGGCTGTATCTGTTTGACCTTAGAAGGGTTGAAGACTAAGCTGCTAAGACACGTGGGCATATGTGACAAGTCAGCAAGGTCTGAGTAAGCGTACTCATTGGCAATGCTCCTTGAAAGCTGACACACATCACTAGTGGAAGAGTTAAGTGCTGTCTGCATGACTCCCTGGGAGACAAACTGAAACTTGTGCCTGTCACCTGCAACACACCTTCTATGCCTTCTGCCTTTGCACATTTTAAGCTATATCTTTCTATGGCAACCACTGTGATCATGAGTATACAGTGTTTCTGAGACCTCCAAGTCCTTTTGGTGAATCACTGAATTTGAAGGTGATCTTAGGGATCAGGAGACAGTGGGTTCAGTACCTTCTTCAGTGCTTCAAATACACCCAGATCACCCACAGGCTTTTAATACCTGGTCACATCTACTTCCCTTATAGAAGTAGATTCCTTGAGAACCAAGAGCATGTCAACCACCTCTGCACCCCTGATGCCTCACTTACATCTGGAGCATACAAGGTATGCCCTTATGATGTGTTTAAGAATGAGGCTAACCTTCATGCTCAACTGGGAGCTTTTACTAAGATATGAAAGAAAAATGATAATCTAAGAAAATGTGAAATTACTCATTAAATTATAAAACCAAGATAAGCTAAAAATTATTTGTGATTATGACTATCAAGCTAATAGAAGACTAGCTTTCACAATAGCTCAAAATAACATTATAAAGAAAGAAGAACTGCTAATGATTATATCAGTAGAAAACCACAGCACTATCCCTCCCTCATTCTCTAGCAGGATTTTCTCACACACAAAAAGACAAGGAAGTTCAGCATCTTCATCTAAAATTACACAACTTAAAACTGGATGATGGCTGATGTGCCTCCCAGTTTAAAAGTCTGTAAACTATGGGATTCCCTAAGTATCTCTATTAACAATCCCATCACCTATGGGATAGTTAAAAAAAAAAAAAAATCACTTCGTTAAGAAATATAATCAGAAAAGACCATTGTGGCAGGCCTAAAAAATAGTTTCCCAAATGAAGTATTTCACTGCCTTACACAAACTCATCCCCGCAGAGTTCTCACTTAGGAAACCCAGTGAGGCAAATGAAAACAAGAGAGCGATGCACACCTCAGCTCCCCAAGTACAAGGAATCAACGTCTTAACAGTGCTGCATTCTGCTAAATCATGTACCCTGAGACCCATCTCTGGATTTTTCTAACATGCAGAGCATTTATAATCCCCTGGCACAGGTGCTAGCTGATAGCCAGAATCTACTACTACAGTTTGCTGGCACCTTCCATATTTCAGAGAACCCCCTGCTCCCAGTGGCCCTTCCTGCCTGGTATGACTTGTTGACTAAAGAAACAAACTCAGCCAGGCATAGTGGCACACCCCTAAAATAATCTTAGCGACTCAGAAATGTGGGGCAAGAGGAACACAAGTTCAAGGCCAGCCTGGGCAACTTAAAACGAAAAAGGATTAGGGATGTAAGCTCAGTAATATAGTACCCTTGGATTCAATCCTTACTTGAAAGAAAGGAAGAAAGGGAGGGAAGGGTGATGGAGGAAGGGGGAGGCACATAAGGGAAGGAAAAAGTTCATAGCCAACGTGCTGCTAATCTAGCAATCTGAGGTCTATCAGATGTTTCATGCTAACCACTAAGACATATCACAACTTTTATTTACCTCCATTTGTTTTTTACTTTTTATGGTAATACTTGTACAATGAAAGAAAGTAAGTTGAAATTTTTAAATATAATTTAAAAAGAACTAACTTTACCCTTCTTAAAGAAAGGAAAGAAAGCAAAGGGAATCCTCAGGCCTGATTGTAATATTTGCTACATCTTTAAATCTTTCAAATGCACAAGATAGCTACTAAAGCATGGCGTTGTCCAACGTTCATTCCATTTAGAGCAAAAGAACCTGAGCCAAAAACCATCCAAAACAAAACCTATCACTGGCTCCTAGAAAGAGTCACTAGCAGTTATCCAAATGACCTACCATAGGACATATGTTGAGTCACCTGGAAGAGTGGTCAATTTGTTGTACATGAAGAGAGCTAAGCATAGCTGGAAACCCCGGCCCAGGGAGTGCACTGCCATGAGTACAAGGCCTGCCCACTCCTTATCTCCCCTGCCTGGCTCCCAGCAAGGCCTTGTTTGAAGGAGTCTGTCCTCCAGACCTAGACTCAAGGGCCAACACCCCCCAACACACACCCACCTGCAGGGCAAGCACTGAGCATTCAAGCTGGTCCAACAGCCTTATCCCCAGATGGAAAATGTTCAGCACCATTCACAGTACTTGCAAATAGCCAACAGAGCTTAAAAATGTGAACACTGGTCATTAAACTGGATTTAATATAAGCTCTGAAGAAACATGATCCGAAATTAAGACACAAACATTGTTTTTAAAATTGAGTTTTAAAACTATAGATTATTTGCACATTTTTCTATGTCAATGAAAAACTTTTTAAAAGGGCAATTTTATGATTTCAGCCTGATTTAATTTTATCCTTTTAAATAAAAAGTTGTTGAATATTTAATGAAAACAGGTTTAATTTAGGACAGTATAAGGAGGATTGCATTCAGTCAGTTCCACACCTGCCATCTGATGGGTATGTGGCCTCAAGAATTACTAATCCCTTCCTTCCCATTTTCTCTTCTCTAAAATGGATAATAAAAGTATCTCCCTTCTGAGCCCACTCTGGAGATTAAATAACCTCTGTGAAGCACTTACTTCATCACCTGGTAGTCCACAAACTTTCAATAATAGCAATTATTGTATAATTTCCATGTAAAAAAAAATTCACAGATCTGAATTTTTTCAGATTCACAGGAATTCCTTCAGAAGATGGCTCAGGAAACGTGGGCACCCTGGTCCAGGTTGCATGATACCACTGGAAGTCCTCCCAAACCACCAGGCCTCCTTGGTGGCATTTCTCCCCTGCCAAGTGTGAAGACTGGCCTACATTGGCAATTGTCAAACCCTGCTCTCCTGATGAGAAACAGGAGTGGGGTGAAGGTCAGAAGGGTTACTTGGCTCTTTTCTGTACCACACTGAGTTTCTAGGTCAAACATCACTTATTGGCAAGAATTCTACGGCTCAGAATGAACTTGGAAACTAGTCGGCCACATGGTCTCAGATGCCCTCCAACTGTTGTTTCCTATTATTCAGTAAACACAATGAAACAGGTAATAAGATGGGATCTCTTATTCACTGAAGGAGAAAAGCAGGGAAAGACACTTACACAAGCTGTTTATTATATTTGCTAAGAAAGACAATCTATTATTCTGTGATTTTAATACCTAGTCAATGTTTTTCTGTCCTTGCTTCGGTCAACTGACCCATTCTTGAGTGTTCTTCTATCTGGAAAAAGGTCATTCTTAAAATCCTACATTCTGCTTAACTCTGGCAGTGGTCAAGGCGTGTCTATTCATGTGCGTAAACTGGAAAATTCTGTCTGTCAGCGCAGCTGTATAGGTCACAGGAGTCTTGGTGCCATCCCTCTTTATCTGCTGCTCGGCTGTCTTTGAGAACACAGGACATGCTCACCAGGACCTCCTTCCAAAGCAGCAGATGCTCCGCAAGCCCTAGACTGTTTCTGTAGCAGAACTGGGGAAAAATAAAAGGTCCTGGGCACTCCCCTGGCTCTTACTGCTTCCTTTGTCCTCTCTTTGAAACATACGTGAAATGAAAAGGAAAGCCCGACACGTACCACCACCACACTCTTGGATGCATCCAGGACGTGGATCACAGGTGCGCTGTATCTTGGAGCTATTTTAACTGCTGTGTGGGTTCTGAAAAGAAGGGTCAGGAAGAAAAGCACATCCATCAGTACTGAGAGCTCCTACACAACTCCTGTTCAGAACCATTAGAGATAATGTCTTTCAACAGTGTTTTCCAGAGAAAGATTTCAAGGTACTTACTTACAAATATTTAATTTCAAATTTTCCTTGTGAAACAAGAATGACTTTTTCCTATCCTAAGATGGGGAGAAATGACATGAATGAATAGGCTCAGGTTACAAAGAAGTCTGTGACCAAATGAAAAAGACCTTGTCCTCAGCTTCTGCCAACAAGGGCCGAGCCCCTGGCCTGGCTCTTCGTCAGCCTGTGTGAACCAAAAAGCAGCAGTCCCAGGCCACTGCATTTTGATGTCATCAAGGTCGAGCTACCTCCCTTTCTTCAAACGAGCCAGGCATCCAGCCAAGGTACCTGCAGAACCAGGAACCAGGCAAAGGACACAAGACACATTGCCTAGCTGCTGCCACCTCTGTGTGACCAGCATCAATACCCCATGGTCCCAGTCCCACCTGTAGTTGTAGTAAGGAACCCTAGTCCCAAAATTCAACACAAAATAAACAAATGTACAAGCAACAAATTTTGTACTAAGATTGATTCAGCCCCAAATCCCTGCTGTCAAACTTGAAAATGTTGGTACTGAGAAACAACAATTAATCCTTAAAATTACCTAATTAACTAAAATGCAAAACAAATTGCTCTCTGATTGCTTGATGTTTAGCACAGGCTGCATATTTGCTGTTTCATTCTAGAACACACTAAATTCATATGAGAATTGGAAACACATGTAGCCTCCCTACAGAGCTTGCAGAGGCTAGGAACCCATCAGATGGTGGCAGCCGCACCCTGGAGCTTCCTGCTCTTCCCTGGTACCCTGAAGCAGCACACTCACCCAAGTCAGGAGGTTTCACATTCTTTTCCTCAATTAAAGTGCATTTTTGTTTGGAATGTTGTCCAGAATATGCTATTATATGAGAAAGAAACCAACTAATAGAACACAAAATTTATGCAATTCCATTTTTAAAAAACACAAATACCACAGTCAACCTGCCCCAACCAACCAACCAGATAGCTAAGATTCTGAGTACTGAGAAAACTACAAAGGGGCACACACCAAGTGTCCACACAAGGAAAAGGTGGGAATGAAGGGGCAGGGAGAGACTGGATTTTACTTCACAGCCTCTTTAAGTGTTGACATGTTCTCATGAGGGGATTACTGAAGTAATTTTTAAAGACCTGGAGAGTATTATTATATTAAAGGTGTAATAAGTATACATATTTTTATAGGCTTCTCTGGGAAGGCACTCAGCACCCATGCACAGTGAGACAGGACCAACAATCCCACACCTGTTCTTGCTTTCTAAGAACATCTCCATTTGTAAATGAGAAGCAAAAAACTAAAGCCTTAGGCCACAAGAATTGAACTATACGAACTATACGGGGGTCCCTTCCAGCAACAAGCCGGCTGTTGCAACATAGCTTTTGTGCTAGGAGGCAGGGCACAGGGCAGCGGAGGCAGCCAAACCCTGGAATGAACTCCACAGCCTCCTGTGTCTTAGTCTTGTGCCTAAGGGTGCACTCAGGCAACAAAGGTTTGAAGATATCTTGAGTATTCTGCCAAGGGGAGGATTTTCAAACAGTAGAAAAAGTTATTTTTAAAAAGCTGCTCCACTTTCAAAACAGACTACAACTGAGACTAACCTTGCTTCCTCCCCTTCAGTTGGCAAGCTCCCTGAATGCATGGAAATACTTCTCTACATTCTGCTTGACATACGTATCCTGCAAGAAAGTGTTACTTTAAGCTTGGTAACACTCGACAGACTTTTCCTTAGAGAAAACAAGTACGACTTTTAAGTTTTAAGCATCCAAGGGTCCTCAGTCAATTTGAGCCCACTCTCTCTTTGATGAGCTTCTGGACAGAGAATAAACCCTGAATTCTACTATTAATAAATAAAAAAAAGCAAAGTGCTGCCTTCCAACATAAAAATGGCAAGGCTACATGATCGAAGGCATGACATTTGAACTTGCTTAGCCACTAAGAGTACTTCCTGTTTCCTTATAAAATAATTTGACATCAATTCCACTTTTTTTCCCCACAAGCTTCTCTACCTAGAAGAAGCCGTCCTTCTAAAGCCTGACAAGATGCAAAACACCAGAATCTCCCTGCCCCTTCTGCCCCTTCCTGCACACCAAGAGCACAGTACTAGATGCTAAGGTGGACTCTCAAATTCTGTCTCTGCCAAATCATTCAAGACTACCAGGATCCAACAGGTCTTCTCCAATGTTTGCAAATGTTTAAAATTCAATGACAAAAATGAGAAAATAAAGACAAGGAGATTAAGATGGGATGGAGTGATATTAGCATATAAATCTATTCCATAAAATCCTAAACACACATCTAAATTCTAAGCTTCTATATGGTCAGTGCACAGAGAAAAATAAAAGCACTTATGTGTGATTTAGCACATGACTTTCTAGCAATTAAACACACATACACACACACTCAGAAAATTATCTCTACCTTAGAGCAATGTGACTTCCTCTTGAATTCTCCAAGCTACACAAACAATAATTGAAAAAGACATTTTGCAGTAATTAGCTAAAATTTTGTTAAAATGTGAAAGCTAACTGCCACAACATATACCCTTTGGAAGTCCTGCTTTTAAGAGGACCAGATTTGCAATAAGTTTTCTATTCTTTTTATAACAACAGGTTAAAAAGACTACTCCAAGTATATTTCCACTCATCTTTGACCCCAAATGAGTAACCGCCTTTCAGCCTCTGGACAGCCTTAACCCCCAGTCAAGTGTCTAGTTCTGTTCATGCTACCATAAGCCACTGGGGCTTAGAAAAGCTGTGAACTTATATCTCTTCAGAGATCTGTCCTAGTAAAAATCTGCAAGTCCTGGGGCTGGGATTGTGGCTCAGCGGTAGATCGCTCGTCTAGCAAGTGTGAGGCCCTGGGTTTGATCTCAACACCACATAAAAATAAAATAAATACAATAAAGATATTGTGTCCAGTTACAGCTAAAAAATAAATTTAAAAAAAAAATCTGTAAGTCTTGAGCCATTATCTATACAACTGCAGCTAGCAAAGGCAAGAACTAACCCTGATAAGCCCTCAACAGGTCTGAGGAGGAAATAACCAGGGGTCTGCGAGAGGCTTCTGAGACATTCAGGCTCCTGAATGCTCTGTAGGCCAAGCAGCCTAAGAGAAAATGATTCTATTCAGACATCAATGGCATTAACTGTAAATGAAAATAATGAAAAATCAGATCTCATAAACATTAAAAACTTTTATGATCCAAAGACTCCACTAAAACAGCAAAAGGCAAGCAAGATTGGAAGAATCTACTTGCTATATTTCTGATAAAGGGCTTATAGCCTAAAACAGTATGAATAAGGCAGAATATTCAACTTAAAAAAAAAAAAAACTTAAAGAGTATATGTTCAATATATACAGAAAGGGTGTGTTAGCATCACTAATCAGCAAAGAAATGTAAATGAAAAACATATCAAGAATTACTGCCTGGAAATAGTCAATGAAGATGGTTGTACACTGTCCTGGGATCTAGTTCTTCTCTTCTGGGCACACACAGATATACTAAAACTCAGTTGCAAAAATGTTACAGCAGCATTGTTTGTGAGAACTCCAAACTGGACAAACCCAAACGTCTACGAACAGAGGCATGGATGTCTGAATCATAGTACATGATACAATGAAATGGGGGCAAAAAACCTCTAAAACTGGGTTGGGGGTTGTGGCTCAGTGGCAGAGCACTTGCTTTGCACAGGTGAGGCACTGGGTTTGATCCTCAGCACCACATAAAAATAAATGAACAAAATAAAGATATTGTGTCCATGTATAACTAAAAAAATTCTCTAAAATTTTAACAACAATGTTGGGCCTTCATACACAGTACTGTTCCATTTTATATAAAGTAAAAATGCAGGCAAAACCAACCTACAGGGATAGAAGGCAGAAGAGTGGTTACCTCTGTTGCAAAAGATGCCAGGATAAGTAACCCAGTGAGGCTGCTAGGTACCAATGACATTCTATTTCTTGATTTGGAGGTGGTTACATAGATGGATTCGCTTTTGCAAACACTCATCAAGTCACACACCTGTATGACTTGCATACATTCTGTGTGATTGTTACACTTCAGTAGAAGTGCTTATTCAAACAGGAGAGCTCAGTGAAGCCAGACTCCAGGTCTGTGACCTGATCCACAGTCACTATTCAGATGGGAAGATGAACTGGGAATTTTCCATGGAAGCTCAAGGATGCTACATGAGAACCTTCTTTTCAAAGGTTGCTCCAGGCCCACAATGGAGAAGAGGAATGTCTCCCAGACTTTTATATTCCAAATAAAGTTCCAGAGACTTCAAAGAACATGGAAGAGAAGAAAACCAGAAAAGAGAGAGTTTATGGAGAAACAAGGCACTAGAAAGTTGGAAGAAACCTTGTGAGGTCATGATATCCAGCTTTCTACCTTCAAATATTGGCAGACAATTAGAATAGATAGTGAATGATTTCCCACGTCACCATTTGTGCATCAGGATATAACTGTAAAGAGCCACCAATGATTCTAATTTTGCCATCAATGATGAATCCCAAGAAGCCAGTCCTGTTGTTCTGAAGGTTTTTTCATAATAAAACAGACTATTGATCAAGTTCTAATCCGTACAAGTATCAAATTCCTGATATTAAGCTTCTAAGAAGTTATTATAAAGAAATTTTAATTTTGAAACCATTGTCATATCAATATAAGTGGCAATGCCCTTTAATACATCTGCCCAATTAAGTATTTATCCCATTTTACAACTATGGTTTTAAAGGTCTTTCATCCTCATCACAGTCCAGAGATCCCCTCACTGTTCTTGTGCTCAGCTTTCATTCATTACACAGGACCAAGCTCATCAAAACCCCAGTTAGCGATGGCTGGTCATATTCTTTGACAATAATTCTGCCACTTAGTCTAGCAGATAAATCATCTGTGGCAAAACAAACCCAGTTTTCTAATATGAACAATGACTATCAAACTATAGAATCTTTCAAATACGAAGAGTCCTTAATTGAACAAAAGACACTGTGGCTACCCATAAAAATGATCCACTCATATTATACATGGTATGATGGTTAATTTTATGTATAACTTGGAAGGCCATAGTATCCAGTCTCCACTCAGACCACAGTCTAAATGTTGCTGTGGACGTATTTTTTAGATATGATGAACATTTTACTCAGTAGATCCTGAGTTAAGCAAGTTACCATTCATAATGTGCATGGGTCTTATTGATTCGGTAGAAGGCTTTCATATAAAGAACTAAGGAACCTCTCTACTTTCTGCCCCTTCTCCACAAAGAAGAAATTCTGCCTTGTCTGTCTTCAGACTCAAACCTGCAACATCAACTCTTGCCTGGGTCTTCAGCCTGCAGATTTCAGACCTATCAACTTCCACAGTCACATGGGCCAATTCCTTGAAATACATTTCTCGCTCTTTCTAAGGATCTCTTGAATACTTATGACAGACCATAATTATATTTTTGTACCAGAAAAACAAACTGCATACATCAAGTTTAATGCTGCAGCTTGATGTAAAGAGTTGTGCAACATAAGGAATGCTGCAAAAAAGTCTCCTATCCAAAATTAACACATCTCTGAATAAATCACACAATCAAGACCCCAAGAAAATACAGTCCATGCAACCAAATGTAAATTTTTCCTCTTTACATCTTTTATCCTAAAAGTTCTCCTTTCATAGATAACTCTCCAAAGTACCCTTTGGTTCTTTCTAGCTAGAAGAATTTTCTAACTCTAAACCACTAGAAGATTACAGTTTCTTCAATAATTATAAAAACTGTCTCTCTTTAAGACAGAGAGTGGGCAGAAGTTCAAGCAACAACTTTATGCCAAAAAAACACAGTTTGGGCATCCAATTTGATTTCAAGAGAGGTAACAGTTCATTACAATTCTCAGAAACTGAATGTGAAGTGAGAGAATTAAGGAAAAGATAACTGTAATCCAAAGGAACCCCAAAAAAGCAAGGGGTAGGGAGTCTCAAAGTTTCCTATTCATAATGTGCTCTAAAATTGTTCAGGCTCATCAAAGTAAAGACCAGAGAGTTTATGTAATAAGGAGTCAATGTACATGCTTCAGGGGAAAAAAACAGGTTTTAACACTGTTTATGAACACATATTTAGCAAAACTCAAGGCATAAAGCTCATTATTAGGACTTACCTAGAAGTGGTTGCTCCTCCAATCAATAATGGAATCTTTATAGCTAACCTCTCCATTTCCTTGGCAACAAAAATCATTTCATCTAGGGAAGGAGTGATGAGTCCTGACAGGCCAATTATGTCTATGATTTTTAAAAAGAAAGGGAAAAAAAGGACAATGAGGAGGATAAGAGAAAAAAAGGAAAAGTATTAAGACCCATTTTAAAAACTTTATAATACAGACCACAAGACCTAACATGAACTGCCAGTTTCTAATTCTAAGACACCTTTTCTTTCTGGGGGATTTTAATGTATTATTTGCTTTTGGTAGCAAATAAGATTTATAACTTGAAGTATTTGCCACAGTTTTAGGAAGCCATACAACAGAAGATTTTATTTACTTGGTGATTTTTCAGATTCAAACAACACAGTGTTTTATAAAAACAACTATATCCAGAAAAAAAAAAAAAAATCAAATCCAAGTGTTTGCTTTTAAGAAGCTGGTCTCCATTCCATTTCCAGAGATCAGAAGCAGCTGCCCGGTTGCTCACACACCTCTATCAACTCCCAGTGCAGATGGCCACCCCAGCAGCCCCTTGCAGAAACTGGACTTGACAGTTTGCATGTCCCTTAGACCCCACATGGAGTGAGCTTTACTACACTGACACACAGACTCTTGGGGAAGTGACACTGAGAGTAATCCCCAAAGGACAGTTGCACAGTACCTGCTTTGTGGTCAAGAGCAGCTTTCAGTATCTTATCGCAGGGAGTCATGACTCCTAAATCAATCACTCTGAGGCACAGAAGTGAGTTTGGGGGGGGGGGGGGCGGGGAAAAACAGTAACAACCCATTAGAGACAAAGCTGCATGAGCATTTTCATTTCAGGCATTAACACTGTTCTAATATAAAATGGAATCACACTGAAATGATCACTAAGCACTGACAATCACCACCACAACTACCACGGGTCAGGCACTATGCTAAGCCTTTTTTATACAGCTTTCCTGAAATATAATTCCCATTTCATGGAATTCGCCCATTTAAAGCATACAATTCAGCTGGGCAAGGTAGTGCATGCCTCTAGACCCAGCTGCTCAGGAGGCTGGGGCAGGAGGATCAGTTGAGGCCACAAGTTTGAGACCAGCCTAGGTAACACAGAAGACCCCAGCTTAACCACAAATAAATAAAAATAAAAATTAACAAATTCAACAGTTTATGGCATATTATTTTTTAACCCTGGTAAGACATATGTAACTTTCCACTGGAATTGGTAAGTGCACAATTCAGGAGGATTAATTTCAGTTACAGTGTTGTTCAACTATTAACACTATTTTTCCAAAAGCATTTCATCAGCCTACATAAAAACACTGTAATCATTAAGCAATGACTCCCTCTTCCTCTCCTTACCCTCCCTGGCAGCCTCTACTCTGCTTCCTGTCTCTATGAATTTATTTAATCTGGGTATTTCCTATAAGTGGAACCACACACTACTTGTCCCACTGTGTTTGGCTTATTTCACTCAGCACTGTGTCTTCAGGGTTCATCCACATCTCATGTATATCAGAATTTTATTCTCTTTTAGGCTGAATACTATTCCATTGTATGGACATGCCACAGGCTATGGTTTGGGTCTAGGATGTTCCCCAAAGGCCCATATGTTAAAGGTCCATGTTATGGGGAAGTGGTAGAAACTTCAGGAGGTGGGGATTAATGAGAGGACTTCTGGTCATTCAGAGCACACCTTAAAAGGGTAGTTGGATTCTAGCCCCTTTCTCTTTCTCTTTTTTAATTTTTTGCCTCTGTCCATGAGATGAATGGCTTTGGTCCAACATCCACTTCCCATCATGATGGTCTGCTTCAGTACAGGCCCAAAAGCAACAGTATCAACCAATCATGGGCTGACACCTCCAAACCTGTGAGCCAAAATTTGTTATAGGAGCAGAAAGCTGACTCATGCACATTTTGTTTACCCACTCATCTGCTGACAGACATCTGGGTTGTTTCCACTATGCTAAGACCTTTGCAAAGTAATCTAATTTAACCCTCACAGACCCTCTATGATGAAACCCCTACTGTGGGAAAGGATCTGGTAAGTTAAGCAAGTTGTCCAGTCACACAACTGATTTAGCAAGAGAGCTGGAAGAGTTAGGATCTAAATTAGCAAAATTCATTATCTAATTCATTTAAGCCAATAGAAAATGCTGGTAAGTTCCTCAGCAAACAGCTGTTGAACAGGAAAGCCAGTGGGGAGGGGAATAGAGAAGAGGCCAGTCCCTGCACACAGAGCTGTCTTGGGAAAAGCTAGAGACTTAAGGCAAAGAAGAGAGGGGGATTCAGGAAGCAGGCCTCCTTCTTCTTCTCGGGGTGGCTGTACAAAACTCAAAGGGTGGGCACACCTGAGTGGGGGATGGACACCGGACAGAGAACGGTGGAAATATGCTGAGAGGACCGAACAGGACCAGAGGGTTTGATTTCCACAGGAGTGCCTCCTAGAATCCAGAAGGAGGAGTGTCTGCCCTAGGAAATGCCGCAGGTACTATCATCCTATTTTACACAGAGAACACCTACAATGTTAGTCTTTTTTATCATTTAATTTTATTATATTGTTAAAAACATTTAAAAATTACATTATTTTCATTTATTTAATTATATCAACAATTCTTAAAATTCAGTAGTAAAAGGTTCACATTTTTGAAAGTGTGAGTATGAATTTCTACATGATATGTCACCAGCTGGCAACGATGGGTACTGGACACTGGGTAGGAAGGAGGCCTGCTTCTTACTGTGTGCTGTTGGATTTTCAGCTTGTTCCCATAGTACTTTTTTTTTTTTTTAATACTTTTTTCTTTTCTTTAAATAAGTTAGCACACATGGAACCCTAAGTAGAAACTTAAGACAGTTTCAAATCAAGAACTAACTATATTCAGCTTTGTTAGTTCTAACCTGGTAGCAAATGCCAGGGGCATGAATAATGGACAACCTTGGAGGCCACAGATAGCCAGCGGCAGCACATTTCTTTTTTAATATAGTGAAGGCAGTCTCGTAACCAGATATATTGTTATACAATGAGTAAACGCAGAATCCTGCATGTAAAACTAGGCAAAAGAGTATACTGCCTCTAACTCCAGACAAAAGCCTGCACTTCAAAGCTGAGTTTTTCAACATTGCATGTGTTTTCAAAATCCAATTAAAACCCACCAGCATGATGCCAGCGCTACCTTGCTGTCACTGCTCGCTCTTCTGTCAGGAGCATCTCACCAATCACGGTTCATTCCCTCGCCTCTACCCACAACCTCCCACTCCCATCCCAACACCTTGTCTTTCTTGACTCTCCCAGGGTTCTCCTCTGGCTCAGAGCCACACCCCAGTCTGTAGCCCCTCCTATGCACATTATCGCATTATGCCACTTGGGAGACTGAAGAGAATAAAAATGAAAGAAGTCATGAAAAATGTTGATTTTATAATCTAACCTTCTTTGTAAATGCTCATAACATAGCTATAAGCATTTAATTTGAGCTTCTAATTCAAAAAAATATTTAAGCTATTCTAAATGCTTTAGCAATGTCATCCATTACTACTTAAGAACATACAGAATTTAGACAATAAATGTTATGAGATAAAAAATCACAAAAATAAACCTATATAGCAAGATACAGAATCAACACAGGTGCCCACTGATGGATGAATATATATATAATAGAATACTATTTATATTTATATAATTCATGTAATATATATTTATAAAATAATATTTATATAACGAAATATATAAGGTAATATTATTCAGTCATAAAAAATGAACGAAATCCTGTCATTTGTGGCAAAATAGATGAAATTGGAGGTCATTATATTAAGGGAAATAAGCCAGACACACAAAGATGTTCTCTCTCGTATGTGTTAGCTTAAAAACTTGATGTCACAAGTATAAGAGAGCAGAATAGCTATTGGTAGAAACTAAGAAGAGCAGGGGAGGAAGGAGAGGAGGAGGCTGGATAACAGGTACCAAAACACAGCTGGGAGGAATAATTTCCGGCTCTACAGCACAGGAGGGTGACTACAATTTACAGTAACCTACTACATATTTTACAAAGAACCAGAAAAGGAGTTGAGAGGTTCCAAACATACAGAAATACTAATCACCCTGATTTGATCACTGCACACTGTACACAGGTAACACACTGCATACATGCAGCACATTGCTTACATGAACTGAAATAGCACATCATATTTCATTTTTATGTACAATTATTATGTGTTTATTAAAAAGAAAAAAGTAAAAAAAAAAAATCTGCATTTGCCCTCTTCAAAGTCACCTGACACTTGCTGTCACTTCCCCCTGCAATTCACACATTCCACCAACAGAGGGAAGTACCTGCACCAGTCTTTACCTTCCCCACTGTTTCCCACCTGCCCTTAGCAGAATCTGTGACCATTTCTAGTTTGTTAAAACAACAAAACAAATTCTTGCAAAACTCCCTTTCAAAATACAACAAATTAAAAGCATCTAAGTAATTACTGATGAGCATTTGTACAGACAAAACCACCCTATAAAACTCCATTCAGTCAGGTCTCATACAATCTCTGCTCTGAAATCTGACAGCTTATTGAGAGAAAAAAGGGAAAATGCTGACTGCCATGGGGAGCCCCATGTTCTGGCCCTCAGGGCCTATGTTATGATGCCCATTCACAAGAAGCCTCTTGGCTACGTCCACCTGCCCAAATAGCTTTTCCTATTCTTTTTGTCCTCACTGAATGCATAATAGATAATTACTAATTTACTGCATTTGAAAAACTGTGTTCACCGTGGACAATTTGAAAACAGAGTAGACAAAAACTAAATAAATGAAAAAATAAACCTCTAACATCTACTACTGCTCCTTACCCTCCTCCCTCAATAATTACCCTGTTGAAACACTTCCCTTCTTGAACAACAAAGGGATGAAGAGGTGAGGTCTAAGCTTACCTGAAATTATTGCAGCCAAGGACCACTCCAACTATGTTCTTGCCTATGTCATGCACATCACCTTTCACAGTGGCTAGCACAATGGTGCCTTGATAAGGGTCCTGAAAGCAAGCAATACAGTGAGCATGACTGGAGTTCCCCAGAGCAGACCACGTAATTCTCGAGAGCTAGGCAGGTGCCGACCCAGAAAGGGATTAATACAATTACCTCAAAGACGAGCCTGAGACCCAAATACTGCACTAGGCAAGCAGAGCGCTGTAAGCTCGAGCAGTTCAAATGAGCCCATCTGGAGGGTCAGCACAAGGGCTTCAACCAAGATTGTGTACTCTCAAGAACAGCTCAAGTTCAAACAGAACAATCTCACAGCTAAAGACCACATCCTTCACCCCAAAACTGTCTGACAAATGTTTACTGTCAACATTTAGAGGGGGGGTAGAAAAGAGAAGATGTTCACTGCAATGCCCCCCCAGAATCTGAAAATAACCACACTGGCCCAGTGCAGAGGGTGTTAGGGGTAACTTTCTGCTTCTTCCACATAGTCGTTAAGTACGCTGCCAGCACATCGCATACTCTCCAAGGGAAAAAACAAGGAATGGTAAGCAAGGCAATGGGCGTTTTTATAAACACATGTCTGTCTGAGCTGCATCAACTGAAGAATTAAAAATCCCAAGAGCCAAAGCTGCCTGAGCTTCACTGGGAACCAAACAAAGTTAAAAGGCTTAATGATTTACTCTGGTGGCGCAATCAGCAAAAATTAAAACGAATTCAGTAGTGGTATCAAGGACACTATTAGTAGAGAGAGAATATTTGTTTGTTCAAAAAAAATCATCCAAACCAACCATTAGCCCACTACCTAAAAAACAAGAGTAGGTCTTCGTAGATGCAGTGTCAGCATAAAACTTGGTACAAAGTAAATATCAGTTAAGGAAGGACTGTCTTGATTGAAAAATTACATCTGTATTAAAAATTTCATAAAGCTACATTAAAAGGAAAACCCTAAGTTATCTTGAAGCTTGGTAAAAAAGAGGGACAGATGTTAGATCATTTCTCTACTTTATCTTCAGTGATAAACAGCAAGCTAGCCTGACTGCCTAATCCCCTACCCAACCCCAACAGAAATCTCCCAGGCCCACTCCTTAAAGGGCCCACAGGCCTGAAAAAAACAACTTGCCTCTTCTTCTACTGTACAATTAAGCACTCTGTTTTCTTCTCTTTCTTTTTCCATAAAGGGGATAAGGTGGCCAACAGCCTTCTTCATGACCCGAGCTGACTTTATAACCTGGGAAAAAACAGAGCTGGTTATCTGACTGACTACTGCAACGACAGCCATTGCAAACCACATGGCTTCTGATGGCACCTGTGAAACCCCAGCACAAGCTCAGAACACACACTTTAACCTCAGGCTAGCTACACTGGACTCTGCTTCTGACAGTGAGCAGAATGAGAAATAAGCTCCCTGAGGGAAAAGCCAGTGAAGGAGGCAGAGCAGGAGGAAAACAAGGCTAGAAACCAAACACTGAAACTTCCATCTTCTTGAACTTCTGCCTGTTATCTTTTCTCTGGCTAGAAGGCCTCTGTTGCTTATCTTTCAGGGTTAAAGTTCCCCCGCCATGTACTCATTCTCAGCCTTCTCTTCTCCACACTCAACTCCCTTAAAATTGAGCCTCAAACAAGACAAGTCCCTTTCCGTCCTTCATCGCCTCAGGCTCCTAACCTAGATGGTTAGCAAGTGTTTATTAACTCATGAGCTAGCAGCTGCTGCAATTCAAAATAAAGAATGGTGTTCTTACTTGAAATCTATCATTTAACATAACTATTTAAAACAGTAATATTTTTTCAAAGTATGCATTATTTAAGATGAACACTTGCTGGTCAAATCAAATCTATCTTGAGTCTTACTTTACTTCTGAGAGTAAAAGTGGGTACAGAAAATCAGAACAAAGACTATGAAGCTAGCAATTTCCAGATGATTTCTAGCTTCCACACCACTCTAAAGACAGGTTTCTCCAAACACATCTAGGCAAGGACTGGTCCAAATCAAAACTTGAACAGAGTAACCAAACTCACTATTCACTAAGACAAGGAAGAGATTCAACTGTGAACATGTCTCCCTATTTTTGCCAACCTGAGGTAGAAACATTTTTCCAGCTCCAAAAAGATCACCAACAACTTTCATGCCATTCATCAGGGGTCCTTCGATAATATTCAGAGGTCGGGGATATTTTTCCTGGTTTAACCTGGCTTCCTCAGTATCCTGGATAATATATTTTTCAATGCCCTTCAAAAAAAAAAAAAAAAAGGTTGGGGAGAGAATAAAGGGAAAAAATGGGTTAAGTCCAAACAACCAACAGAAAATGAATCACAGACATGCTTAAGAGTGAGAGTTCTGAAATCAAACTGTGTAAGTTCAGATCCTGGCTCCCAGCACCCACTCAGGCCATTTATTAAGCTTCAGTTTCCTAAGAGTGCCACAATATCCTATTCATATGTTTTGAGAATTATTAAATTAAATAACCCATGTTAAGTGCTTAGCTGGCTTTCTTGATACAAAATGTGCTATTAATGAGAAGGTGGGCTAATAAGTAGATTTATAACTCAGATGTTTGTATTCTTATATTTTAACAGATTATACTTTAATAATATCTCTGCCAAATCAGTGTTTTCTCACTACTTGGCTGGAAGATGAATGAGGGTGAGTGAGATTCTCAGGTGAAGTTCAAAAAGAGGAGGCTCCCCAATCTAGGCTTGAACAAGCCCTCCTCCAGGGTCCCCAACTCACAGATCTTGGATGTGGCTGAACTAGTTCCACAAACTAAAATATGTGAATCACAAAAGGCAAGAGTTGAATTTTAGACGCCCCCCACACCGGCCTCCAAAAATAGAACTCTGAAATTCTCCAGACTCACAAATGGGAAAACTGAAGCCAAGAGATTATTTATCTCACCAAAATCCCAAACATCCACAGAAGAATCAGTACTGACTTACTGGACATACTAAAAACAACCTGGTCAGGGTAGGGTTCTCAACCTCAGTACTACTGACCTTGGGCTGGAATAGTCTTTGTTGTGGAGGGCTGTGGTGTGTACCACAGGACACAGAGCAACATCCCTGGTCACTGGATTCCAGTGACATCTCCCACTCCCACCCTGACAACCACACATACCTTTAGACAGTGCCAAATGTGCTATCATATAATGCAGAGCAGGAGGGCCACCCAGGTTGAGAATCGGCAACCAGGAGTCCATGGCCTCTCTTGCTCCAGCTGCTGTCGCCACCAACCCTCCCACAATGGCATCAGACAGCAGTGACAAGCTATCAGCTGGCCAGTGCAGGTTCCCAAACTCACCTTCACAAGAGCATACTCAAGCCGTTCTTCAATGGGACTGTTCCTCCACTCATCGGTCTGAATGACCTTCTTCCCTCCTTTGCCATGAGTCTGAAATGAATTGAAATTTGGACGAAAAAATAGATGTAGGAGGCCACTTATTTGAACCATTTGGCAGCAACTAATAAACTGTCTTACTCTTTTACATTCCCAGCTCCCAGCAGAGTGCCCAGCATGCATTATGACACTGACCAACCATAGTACCAAGTCTGGTGAGAAGCACATGCAGCTCTTCCTCCTCTTTCAATTTTCACCTGAATTCTCATTCCCTGTGGCAAGCTTCCCTAACCACCTCCATCTTTGGGATCCATGCCACCTCAACATCCTCATAGCACTCTGTGCCTCCCCTACGACAGCACCTACCACACTGGATTAAGATCACCTCTGTACATTTTCTGCAGGTCTCAGTGAACATCAGCTGAGTGCATTAATGCTGAACAAAAACTGATGTTGCTAGAGCAATGCTTGTGCAAGATAGTAGAGGCAAAGTCACAGAAGGCCAGAAATTCATGCTTGGAGTTTGGACTTAACCTCCAGGGCAACTGTGTGGTGGGACAGGAGATACTTGTCACAGTTCTGAAGCTGCAGGGTCATATTCAAAATAGTGTTTTTAAGGGAAACTCAGAAGGGGCCTAGCCTGAGTCTGATAACAGGAAAGGCCAATAAAAACAAACATGAAGATATCAAGTTACCAGTACAAATAAAAGAAGGAAAGATCTAGGGAGAAAACCAAGATATAGGACCAGAGTGGTAACTGGAATAACAACAATAGGAGTCTTTCATGGAGAAAAATCTAAAGAATAATTAAAAAAGAAAAAGTACTTCTTAAGTTCATATTCCCCTCACTGGTACATGAAAAGACTATTTGTTTTACCAGCCATACAACCAGACAATTCCTGCCTAAGGGATGGAATTGCTGGGTTAAGACAAAGCAGTCTATTCCAAATACTTTGGGTGCTGGGAATATGAGTGATTTTATTCTCTCCTTTTGCTTACCTGTATTTTGTAAATTTTCTAGAAGTAATATCTGTCACTTGCTATAAGAAAAATATATTTCACACTTCAAAATAAATACTTAGAAATTTAAGTTCCAGTGCACACCTGTAATCCTAGCAACACGGGAGGCTGAAGTAGGAGAATCAGGAGTTCAAAGCCAGCCTCAGCAGTTTAGCAAAGCCCTACACAACTTAGCGAGACCCTGTCTCAAAATAAAAAATATAAAGTGCTGCTGGGGATGTGGCTCAGTAGTTGAGTGCCCCTGGTTTCAATCCCCAGTACCAAAAAAAGAAATTTAGGTTCAGAATGCTGAAGCAGCCTAGGAACGGTCCATTTCTGTTTCCTTACCCTAACTACAATACCTTCTCTAGAATGTTCATTGATCCGAAGACATGATTAGGTATGTGCTTCTATTCTACAATGAAGGTCCAATAATTGTGAGTAATAAATTCAAAGAAAGAAAAAAGCCATGTTAGACACTTTTCTCTCTACCTGGGCAAAATGTAAGAGCTTCTCAGTGGCTTCAGGGTCTTTATTCCAGATGAGATCTTCACAGAGCTGAAGAAGTTCCTTGTGGATATCATCATATACTGGGAGGTTTCCTGCATTCACTATCCCCATATCCATACCAAACTAAAGGCAATAAAAAGAAAAGTGATGCCCTAAATTAGGAACCAGAAAGAAAACATTTTAGGCCATAGTCTCAGTCACAAATACTTGACTCTGCATTGGTTCCCAAAAGCAGCCTTAGATAAAATACAAGTGAATGCTGCATTTAGGGGGTACCCTAAACAAACCTCCTTTACAGAAACTGATCACAGGCCAGTTAGTCTGAGGGCCACAGTGGACAAACCTTGCCCTAGTGAAAGCTGGTTTCAGGGGTAAGCAGGCCTTTAATCATACCTTGATTGCGTGGTAAAGGAAAACCCCATGCATTGCTTCTCGGATGGCGTCCATTCCTCGGAAGGAGAAGGACAAGTTGGAAAGACCTCCACTTATTCTGACTCCTGGTAAAGTTTCCTGGCAAAAATTTTAAAATGTGAAAACAGTGTCTATTTTGCCCAAAGCAGCAATCACATTTCTTAAGCTTTATATACGAGTGGAAAATAAACAACATGAACTCCAAAGTAACACAGAGCTTGCTGTAATCAGACACAGGCCCAAGTTTGCTGTATCATGGTGCTGTAAAGGCACAGCTTCATCAGTGTCCCCCATTAGACTTTAGTCTCCCTAAGGGAAAATATAAAATTCTACTTTATCTCTGTGTACTTCAGTAATGACCCTGATAGGGTATAATATATAATGAGTATTCCATAAAATACTTGCTGGATAAATGATAGAGAAGAAAGTGGTGGAGGGAGAGTATGTTTGTGTGCGTGCAAGCAAGCACACACACACACACACACACTCAGTTCCCCATTCACTGAAAGCACAAACTACCTGAAGGTATTTGTAACTAAATGAGCAAACACTGATTTATTGTTGGCTCAAGGACAAACTGGCTCAAGCACCGAGGAAGACGGCTTGCTATTATCTAGTACTATGACCCAACCACTCAGCTTCTGGGGTATATGCTAAAGAACCTTGGGCATGTGTGCCAATATATGTATAGAAGAACGTTCACAGCAGCATTGCTCATGAGGCCCAGAAGCTGGAAACAAACCTCTATGGTAGAATAGTTAATTATGGCATAATGATACAATGGAATATTATACATTAATTGAATGAACAAATGACAGTTACAGCAATGCAGATGAAACTTTTTTTTTTTTTTAGTTGTAGATGGACACAATAACTTTATTTTATTGATTTATTTTTATGTTATGATGAGGATCGAATCCAGTGCTAGGCAAGCACTCCACCACTGAACCACAACCCCAGCCCCTCCATGAATCTTTAAAATAAGTTTGAATAAAGAAAAAAGTCATAAATATCTTATGATTCCCTTCAAGCTAAAAAACAGGCAAAATTAAACTATATTGTTTAGATATTCAGTTGGTTCTCATAGTTCTGTTCTATAAAGTCACTGTAAACTCTGAAATAGGACTTGTTGTTGTTTGACTTCATAATGGCTGCCAATCTTACTGGAGTGAGATGGTATCTTAGGGTGGTTTTGATTTGCATTTCTCTGACCGCTAGAGATGGTGAGCATTTTTTCATGTACTTGTTGACTGATTGTATGTCCTCCTCTGAGAAGTGTCTGTTCAGGTCCTCGGCCCATTTGTTGATTGGGTTATTTGTTTTCTTATTGTTTAATTTTTTGAGTTCTTTGTATACTCTGGATATTAGGGCTCTATCTGAAGTGTGAGGAGTAAAAATTTGTTCCCAGGATGTAGGCTCCCTATTTACCTCTCTTATTGTTTCTCTTGCTGAGAAAAAACTTTTTAGTTTGAGTAAGTCCCATTTGTTAGAGAAGTGCTGGTGAGGATGTGGGGGAAAGGGTACACTTGTACATTGCTGGTGGGACTGCAAATTGGTGCGGCCAATTTGGAAAGCAGTATGGAGATTCCTTGGAAAGCTGGGAATGGAACCACCATTTGACCCAGCTATTCCCCTTCTCGGACTATTCCCTAAAGACCTTAAAAGAGCGTATTATAGGGATACTGCTACATCGATGTTCATAGCAGCACAATTCACAATAGCTAGACTGTGGAACCAACCTAGATGCCCTTCAGTAGATGAATGGATAAAAAAAAGGTGGCATTTATACACAAAGGAGTATTACTCTGCACTAAAAAATGACAAAATCAAGGAATTTGCAGGGAAATGGATGGCATTAGAGCAGATTATGCTAAGTGAAGCTAGCCAATCCCTAAAAAACAAATGCCAAATGTCTTCTTTGATATAAGGAGAACAACTAAGAACAGAGCAGGGAGGAAGAGCATAAGAAGATTAACATGAAACAGGGACGAGAGGTGGGAGGGAAAGGGAGAGAGAAGGGAAACTGCATGGAAATGAAAGGAGACCGTCATTGTTATACAAAATTACATATAACAGGAAGTGAGGGGAAAGGGAAAAAAAAAAACAAGGGGAAGAAATGAATTACAGTAGATGGGGTAGAGAGAGAAGATGGGAGGGGAGGGGAGAGGAGGGGAGGGGAGGGGGGATAGTAGAGGATAGGAAAGGCAACAGAACACAACAGACACTAGTATGGCAGTATGTAAAAAAGTGGATGTGTAACCAATGTGATTCTGCAATCTGTATACGGGGTAAAAATGGGAGTTCATAACCCACTTGAATCAAATGTATGAAATATGATATGTCAAGAACTATGTAATGTTTTGAATAATAAAAGTTAAAAAAAAAAACAACTTTGAAATAGGGAATACTGACGCCCTGCTCCAAGAGAAATACCATCAATGCTGGGCACATCATAGCCTTCCTGCATTCATGAATGCTAGCCACGCCAACATATGCCTTAAGGCCATCTTAAAAAGCAAAACCACCATCCAGACACAGTGGCACACGCCTGTGATCCCAGCAACTCAAGAGGCCAAGGCAAAGTATCACTGGTTTGAAGCTAGTCTCAGTAACTTAGCAAGACCCTGTATCAAAATGAAAGAATAAAAGGGGCTGAAAATGTAAGTCATGTAGTAGAATACCCTGGATTCACTCCAAGTGCCATCAAAACAAAGGTTAGAAAAAATAACCCTAAATAACACGGCTAAATCAGGATGATGACTATGACATTAAATTCAGAATGAGGTATACCCAGAAAAGGAGAAACACACAAGCATCAGTGTGTTACACTGTGAAACTATGAGGTGTGTCCCACTTCATAATTTAAACAGCATTACAAAAAAATTTTAAAGTCTCTAACTTGAGGAAAAACAATTTACTACACAATGAGAATGTCAACATCCCTATCCAAAAATACGTGATAGCTCTAACCATTCACTAGACCCCTGTGATAAATTTGAGATGTCTTGGACCGAAAAGAGAAAATGACCCTTACTTACTTTAATGACTCTAGTTGCATGGATAAAATTCACAGCATACAAGTTGTGTTCTTCCATTCCAGTACCAATGGTAAGGATGTTGGGGTCAAAGATGATGTCATTTGGATTAAAGCCCAGTTTTCTCACAAGTAAATGGTAGGCTCGAGTGCATATACTGATTTTGACATCTGTTTCTGTCGCCTGGGGAAAGGAGAATATAAGAAATATAAAAAATAAAAACAAAGTGTCATCCATGAAAAAAGTACATTTCACTTGTTGAAAGCACTCAAGTGTCAACATATGGATTTCACAGAAATATAAATGCCAAGCGGCCTCTAAATATTTACCAAATTATTTCATATTTCAGTGGGGGAATCTGTTTGAAAAAAAAATATATATATATACACATATATATTTAATTTGAAATGGGTCTTGCTAAGTTGTCCCAGCTGAACTTGAACTTAGTGTTCTCTTGCCTCAGTCTCCAGGGTGGCTCAGAATGAAGGAATGCACCACTGTGCCTGGTTCCCTTTGTATTTTTACCAACATGACAGGTAAGATTTTTTTCTGCAAAAATCAAATTTTATATGCATATAAATGGCATATTTACTAAAGAGGCTTCTTAAAAACACACATGATAAAAATGCAAACACTACTAAAAGACAGACTAAAAATAAGTGTCCCTCCTTCTTCTGACCTCTCTGCAAGTCCTTTCACCCCAGCAGCACTGCCATGGCTTTCCTGAATTTTCCACCTTAACAGTATATGCTGATCTGAGGAAGCATGTTTATTCCCCATCCCCCACTACAGCACTGACTTGTCAGCATGTGCCTCAGCTTACAGATATGAATGAGGACCACCCATCACAGAAGTCCCTAGGACTCCAGCAAGGCTCACTCCCCACGGCTTCCCTTCCCCTTACCAGCTTCCCTTCCCCTTGCTGTCAGGCTCTGCCTCCAGCCAAAGCTCATCATGCCCCTCCTCCACTACACTCTCTCACCCTGCTCCTCCCACAGGCCTAACCCCTCCAACCCGGTGCTCCTGAGCCCTGGCATGTACTGCTGCCACTGCTCCAGATACCCCAGACATGGTTTTGTGCTTCAACATCTCTCAGGAATCTGGCTAAAGGCTCCTTTCAGAAGTTGCTTTAATCACCCTCCATAAACCAGCCCCACCATCCCTCCTTCCTCCTCCCTTCTTCAGAGCAGGTCTTTTCAGAATCTGTACTAATTTGGTAACTTTTTTGTTATTTTTGGTTAATACTTATTATTAAATTGCCAACCTGTCTCCTGACAGCTAGAATGTCAGTCTGCTGTATCCCCAGTACCCAGAGCAGTACCTGTCAGAGGATCAGTATCATTTGTTGAATGAATATATGAGGGAATGAATGCTGCTTTTACTCAAAGCATGTCTGAACTTTGTCACAGAAGCTGTCTTTGGGTCAAACTTGCAACTTCAACACTCAGCACACTCACCAAATTACGTCTTGAATTTCTGGCTACATGAAAAATGAAATATGCTCTGAGAAAAAAAAATATATATACATATAGGAATCTACCTTACCCGCAGTTTCACTCTCCACTATTTCAGTTACCTGTGGTCCACTATGGTCCAAAAATATTAAGTAGAAAACTCCAGAAACAATTTTTTTCTTTTGTGTAGTTGTAGATGGACAGAATGCCTTTATTTTATTTTTATGTGGTGCTAGGATCGAACCCAGTGCCTCATGCATGCTAGGCAAGCACTCTACCACTAAGCCACAGCCAGAGCCCAGATCTTAAGTTTTAAAATCGCATTCCACCCTGAGTAGGTTGATGAAATCTTGAACCAACCTACAACTGTCCTGCTCCACCCGCCCTAGGACATGAATCTTATCTGTCAGCATATACTTGCAGTACACATTATCTGTTCCTTGGCCCTATGTAGAAGCTAGGTCGATTATCAGACCTACTATAGCAGGATCACAGTGCTTATGTTCAAGTAACTCTTATTTTACTTGCTAATGGTCACAAAGCATGAGGGAACAAATTGCTGGCAATTTGGAAATGCCAAAGGGAAGCCTTAAAATGCTTCCTTAGAACAAAATCTTTACCAAATGCACCTCCGATAAAGCATCCTCCCAGAAAGCATTAATCTCTAGGATAAAGAACTCAAGAAACTTAACATCAAAAAAAAAAAAAAAAAACCAATCAATATAGTCCTTACCTGAACAGACACTTCACAGAAGAAGAAATACAATTGATCAACAAATATATGAAAAAGTGTTCAACATCTCTAGCAATTAGAGAGATGCAAATCAAAACTATTGTAAGATTTCATCTCACTCCTGTCAGAATGGCAATCATCAAGAATACAGGCATCAGTAAATGTTGGCGAGGATGTGGAGAAAAGGTACACTCATACATTGCTGGTGGGACTGCAAATTGGTGCGACTGCTATGGATACAAATTTTCAGACAAACGATCTAATGAAGTGCACTCAAAATATTAAATTTATACAAACCCTTTGGCTCACTTCTATGAACTGATCCTAAGAAAATCATTTTCTACAAGTGAAAGTGCTGCATAAATTAGGATATTCACTGGCCATTGTTCACACTACTAAAAAATTAGTTCAATAGACTAATTAAGGCATATACTGAAATATAATGCAACCATGGGATTATAATCCATACTTACTAAAATGGGAAGATGTTCACATTCTGTCAAGTTGGGGAATGAGATGCCGAATGGCAGAGGCAATCTTGTTTATATCTACTTTTCCATTTACCAGAACCTCTTCTACTCATTCCCCCATGGCCTCCTGGACTTCTCCCTCATTTTATTTGGGTTTTCAAACATTTCCTCCACAGAGGAACCTTAGGAGACCACCAGCCTCAGCAACTTCGAGAGGTGCTAAGCAACTCAGTGAGACCCTGTCTCTAAATAAAATACAAAATAGGGCTGGGGAAGTCGCTCAGTGGTTGAGTGCCCACTGCCTCCTCAGTACCAAAAAACAAAAAAAAAAAATTATTTTTCATCTTTTGTACAAGAGGAGTTAACAACACTTCTGTTAAAAATGATTTTATTACAAAAATTTTAAAAAGGCAGAAAGAAAAAGTACACCATTTATTAACTGCTAATGTGTTCCCATATAAAACTATGCCTACCCCAAAGCTATCATCGGGTTATTTATTTATTTATTTAGAGAATTTTTTTTTAATATTTATTTTTCAGTTTTCAATGGATACAACATCTTTATTTTATTTTTATGTGGTGCTGAGGATCAAACCCAGGGCCCTGCAATGCCAGGCAAGCGCATTACCGCTTGAGCCACATCCCCAGCCCGGATTATTTATTTTCTGTTCATACTATTTATTAAATAAAATTGGGATCATCTCCCTCCCCCCACCCCCGCCCATGGTTCTGTCAACTCATTCTTTTTAAATGCTGCAAAATTTAAGCATTCGCCTAGTAATGGTTATTTAGAGTGTTCTCAGTTTTTGGCTATCATAATGCTAAAATGAGTGTGAACACATAGCCTTACATACTGAACTTATTACAAGATTTCCAAGACAGGATTAATCGAAAGGGATGGATTTTTCAATTTCTTTAGTTACTGAACAGATACCAAGATGCTTATGAAAGTTATGTGAGGTATAAAACATAACAATGTAATGATCACCCAGTGAAACCACAGTTGTATTTGAAGCTTCCCATATGCCCCACCCTGATTCCATGGCAGGGATATTTTATGAGAGCTATCATTTATCAATCCTATTGTTTTTATTTTGATAAAGAAAATGAACATTATTACTTTTTAAAAAACAGTATCAGTATCTTACTGGCTATTTGTACTCCTTTTCCTATAAATTGCTTGTTTTTTTTGTCCATTCTACGAACTTCCCAGTCAACCTAGTTTTGATGTCTGATCTATAGAAATTCTTTGCATATTAGTGACATCAGCCCATACTATTACTCATGTCACAAATAGTACCATGTCTTTGCCATATAATAACGTTTTATATTTTTATGTAAATATTTTTCCTTTCTGGCCTTTTGGGTTAATGGTATTTTCTGCAACACTAGTTACAATTTTCCTATATGTTCTTTAGAACTTTTTACATTTAAATATTTTATCAGTGTAGACTTTAGTGTATGGTGGGGATGGGGCTAGTGCTGAGGTGGTGGGACCTTCATGAGTGGTGAGATCATAAGAATTATTCACAAATGGATTAATGTTCTTTATAGGAATGGGTTCCTTACAGTGAGAGTGGGTCTGTTATAAAGATAAATTCCACTCTCTTGCTCTCTCTCACCCTCTCTGACCTTCTGCTAGGGGATGACGCAGCAAGAAGACCCTTACCAGATGTAGTCCCAAAATCTTAGACTTCTTGCATCCAGAACCATAAGCCAAATAAACTTCTATTGTTTATAAATTATCAAGTCTGTGATAGTATGTTAGAGCAGCACAAAATGTATTAAAACAGGACTCTGACTTTATTTTCTTCCAAATGCATAACCAGTTGTCCCAGTAGTGTTTACTGAATAATTCAACCTTTCTCCACTGATGTAATGACTTTGTTCTATACCAAACCTTCACATATATAAATGTATGCATGCATCTGTGTGTGGATATAGACATATGTATTGTGTACATGCATGTGCATAAAGCTACTTCAGAATTCATTTTCTCCCACTGCTATCTAACCTGGATGACACAGTACAGCTAGGTAGACAGAAATCTCTCACCTGTCCTTCTTCATCGAAAGCCATAATCACCACAGCAGCTCCAAACTTCTTAATCTTCCTGGCCTTCTCCAAGAAGTCCTCCTCTCCCTCCTTCAGACTAATGCTGTTGACGATGCACTTCCCCTGGCAGCACTTTAACCCAGCTTCAATCACAGCAAAATTGGAAGAGTCAATGCACAAGGGCACCTAAGAGAAAGGCAAAAAAATAATCATAATGTATGGAAAAGACAGACAGGATTTTAGTACTTGTTCTTAAAGCCAAACATTCTTGGAGTAATTTCAACATACAAGAGACTACATGCATGAGCCAGGACTTTACAATTCAAAGACCAGAATGGAATCAGTAAGATCATTTTCCTGGTTTCAGTCCTAGTTCACACTTTCAAGTGCCTTAACCCTGAGGCAAATACCTCAAGTGAGATTCAGACATCCCTGGTTGAACTGAGGGATTAAGATTTAGTCTTATGCCCTTTGGAAACAGCCCTGTAGCCAAGTTATTCTATTTCCGTTTTCCCTTTAGATAATCAAGTTCCTCAGTGAGGAGAAAATGAGTTTTAACATTAGAAAGTAAAAGTAGATCCAATACTCAACAAATGCATTTAAGTAAAATAAAGGACAATAGTGAAATGTACAGAGAACAGGTTTATTTCTCATTAGTGCCTCTGTATCAAGGAAAGGAAGGATTTAAAGGAAGGATTCAATGGGTATAAATAAATGAAACATGGAGGCTGATCTAGGTCCCATTGTTTAATTAAGGCATTCAATAAATAACTTCAGTGACTACTATGTCAGACCTCACACAATGTTAAGACACACAGGTCCCTAGCTTCACCAAGGCTATAAAGATAAATGATTAAATAGTAATTTCTTAAGAGCAGTAAATGCTACAACAAAATAGAAGCACGAAGTACTTTGAAAGGGTATTTCAAGGGCACAAATCTGTCTGAGGCGGTAAGGAATGAAGAGGGAGAATTCAAGGTACATGTTTCAATAGAGTTGTAAGAAATTACCTAAATCACACCTCCAAAGACAACAAGAAAAAAACAAGCACTCTGCCAATTTTCTATTTCTTAGCATGCAAGTAATGTGGAGTTTTCTAGGAAAAGGGTCAAATGCAATGAAATACCTGACCAATGTTTTTTAAGAAATTCAGTGACAGCATAGTGTCCCGACCCTACTGGTGAAAACACGCTACTAGAGCACTTTTATGCTATACTATAACTGACCAAAACTTGCCCTCCAATAAATTTTAGTAATAGGTCAAAAACAAGAAAAAAGAAAAATTACTATAATGATTGGAGCACTAAGTAACAGTCTCTTAAGTCATGAGAGTCCTTCACAGCTGACAAGACACTGTCATCATTATAATTCACAGACCAGCCAGAGCAGACGAGACAGCCCACTTATGGAAACCAGGGCCAACCACAGGTCATAGGGTGCCTGAACCCTGAGGGCATCCAGCTTTCCTGCCACTAGCAAGCAGATAAACCACTGGCTCCACCTGAGTCTGACTGACTTTCAACAGGCCCCTGAGTTTCTTTGCTCCTTAAATTCTCAAAAGGTCTATTAAACCCAGAAAAGTGGCGAAACTTTTTAGTAAGGGTTTTTTTTTGTTGTTTGTTTGGGTATTGGGGATTGATCTCAGGGCCCCTCAACCACTGAGCCACATCCCAGTCCTATTTTGTATTTTATTTAGAGACAGGGTCTCACTGAGTTGCTTAGGGCCTTATTAAGTTGCTAAAGCTAGTTCTGAACTTGTGATGCTCCTGTCTCAAACCGCTGGGATTACAGGTGTGTGCCACCTCACTCAGCCTAGTAAGGAGTTTTTGTTTTTGCTTTTTGTTTTGGATTTTTTTTTTTTTTTTTGTGGTACTGGGAGTAAAACCCTAGGGGTACTCTACCACTGAACTACATCCCAAAGTTTTTATTATTTGACATAGGGTCTCACTAAATTGCCAGGGATGGACACAAAACTTGACACTCCTGCCTCAGCCAGAGTTACTGGATTATAAACAGGTGCTATGGTGCCCAACTCATTTTTTAGGTTTTATTTTTATTTATTTACTTTTGGTATTGAGGAATGAACCCAGGGGCACCAAACTACATCCCCAGCCTTTTTTTTATATTAAGAGAGCCTCACTAAGTTGCTGAGGCGAGCCTTGAACTTGTAATCCTTCTGCCTCAGACTTCTGAGTTGCTGGGATTATAGGTGAGCACCACTGTGCCCAGTATAACATCCAGTTCTTTAGTAGAAGTTTTAATATACAAATTAAAGATTATAATTCGGATGGCGGCGAGGGGAGTGCATTGCCCCCGTGTGCTGCTTCACTGTGTGGGAGTATGACAAGTCAGGACGGCTAAAGGCTATCTTGTTAGGAATTTCCAGCAATAGTGGGGTGCTCCGGAACCTGGAGGAAGGATTTCCATTGCACGAGGATCGGCTACGGGGACTCAAACGCGAGAGGTTTGTCGCACGGAGGGTAACACTGCTTATTCAGCAAATCGCCCCGCGGCTAGAGTCTGCAGCGCGCGCTGGGAAACGAGGAGATAGCGAGGCAGGGATACAGCGCTGCAGTTTCTGCCAGCCGTGCAAGCACCGTACTCAGGGCTGAATTCTGGGTTGGAGACGGGGGAAGCAAGCGGTCCATCTCGGTTCTCCACACCGGTCAGACCACAGAGGAGGCCAGCGGCCACCATGTTGGAAAGCTGACGTCACCATCCCTGTTTTCGAATGACCGCAGCTCATTCAGCCATAGAACAGGTAATTTCAGGCTGCCATTCGCCTGCGGCTTGCAGACAGATTGCTCGGGCTCAGTGCCTGGGTGTTTCTTAGAGCCGGCTCTTATCGGAGCGAGCACCGAGCGCGGGGCGGCCGAGTTCCGGCTCCCGGAACCACCCTGGACCAGGGCTGGGGAGCCTGCGGAGGCTGCTTCTTGGAGCCTGCTCTTATCAGAGCATACACCAAGCACGGAGCGGCCGAGTTCTGGCTCCCGGAACTGCCCTGGCCCAGGGCTAAGAGCCCGCGGAAACTGCTTCTCGGTCCGGGTCCTGCTGAGGGCCAGTCAGGACTCACCCGTTGCTTTGGTTGCCCGGCAAGTGGAACGAAATGCTGCCATTCGCATAGGATACCAACATGGCAGAGATCTGATGTCATCAGAAAGCGGCGGAGGAGAGAACTTCATCAATACCAGCAGTGACAGAAACAGTTGGTCTCCTGGTAGGGGGGGTGAGGCACAGACACCCGAGTCTCTCTCTCGATTTGTCGTCGAGCCAGAGGGGAGGAGCCGGGCCGCCGCCAGCGCCCAGAGCAGGCCCAGCGGCTCGCAGGCGTGGTGACCGCGTGACCCCAATTGGAGAGGGGGCGGAGCAGAGCTGCCACCCACGCCCGCAAGGTGGGCAGACCCGCGACCCAGTGGTACATGGGCGTGGTAGGAGGGGCAGGGCAGAGCCGCCGCCCGCGCTTGTAAGGTAAGCAGACCTGTGACAGAATGGCGGGTCAGGCCCAGCGGCCTGCCAGCGTGGTACACACGTCACCCCAACTGGAGTAGGGGCAGAGCAGATCCTTCGCCCACGCCCAGATCAGGCCCTGCCGGTGTGGTGACGCCAATAGGAGTGGGGGCGGAGCGGAACCGCCACCGGTGCCGCAGGGTGAGCAGACCTGTGACCAACCTGCAGATCAGGCCCAGCGGTCCGCAGGCGTGGTAGGAGGGGCAGGGCAGAGCCGCCGCCCGCGCCTGCAAGGTAGGCAGACCTGCAACAGACCGGAGGATCAGGCCCAGGAGCCTGCCGGCGTGGTACACACATCACCCTAATTGGAGTAGGGGCAGAGCAGAGTCGCCACCCGTGCCAGGAACAGGCCCAGCGACCTGCCGGCAGGGTAGTCACGACACCCCAATTGGAGTAGGGGCAGAGCAGAGCCACCACCCGTGCCCGAAAGGTGGGCAGACCTGCAACCGACCAGCGAGACAGGCCCAGTGGCCTGCCGGTACGACAGACATGTCACCCCATTTGGAGTAGGGGCAGAGTAGAGCCGCCGCCCGCGCCTGCAGGGTAGGCAAACCTGCAACCGACCGGCGGATCAGGCCCAGTGGCCTGCCGGCGTGGTACACTCGTCACCCCAATTGGAGTAGAGGCAGAACAGAGCCGCCGCCAGCGCCCAGAACAGGCCCAGTGACCTGCCGGCGTGGTAGTCACTACACCCCAATTGGAATAAGGAGAGAGCAGAGCCGCCGCCCGCGCCTGCAGGAAAGAAACGCAAGCAGTATGAAAAGACAAGGAAAGAAAGGACCACAAGCAATGAAGGTCAACGCAACTTTAGAAGAGGTAACAGCTGCAGCAGATGGAATGTCAGATAAAGAATTCAGGATATACATGCTTCAGATGATCTGGAGTATCAAGGAAGACATTAGACAGCAAAATCAGACAATGAAAGATCACTTCGACAATGAATTATGCAAACAAATCCAGGAAGCAAAGGATCAACTATACAGGGAGATAGAGGTTATAAAAAACAAACAAACAGAAATCCTAGAAATGCAGGAAGCAATAAACCAACTTAAAAACTCAACGGAGAATACTACCAGCAGAGTAGAACACTTAGAAGATAGAAGATCAGACAATGAAGACAAAGTATTTCAACTGGAAAAGAACATAGACAGCTCAGCAAGACTGTTAAGAAACCATGAGCAGAACATCCAAGAAATATGGGATAACATTAAGAGACCAAACTTAAGAGTCATTGGGATACAGGAAGGTACAGAGCTCCAAACCAAAGGAATGAGCAGTCTATTCAATAAAATAATACGAGAAAACTTCCCAGACTTGAAGAATGAGACAGAATCCCAAATCCTAGAAGCCTACAGGACGCCGAATGTGCAAAATCATAAGAGATCCACACCTAGACACATTATAATGAAGATGCCCAACATACAGAATAAGGAGAGAATTTTAAAAGCTACAAGAGAAAGGAAGCAGATTACATTTAGGGGTAAGCCAATCAGGATAACAGCTGATCTTTCAACACAGACTCTGAAAACTAGAAGACCCTGGAATAACATATTTCAAACACTGAAAGAAAATGGGTTCCAACCAAGAATTGTGTATCCAGCGAAATTAAGCTTCAGGATGGAAGATGAAATTAAAACCTTCCACGATAAACAAAAGTTTAAAGAATTCGCAGCTAGAAA